GTGAGAAGAAGCAGCGGGTCAGGTTCCAGCTTGAGATCTCTAGCAATCCTGAGGAGCAGCGCAGTAGCATATTACATCTGCAGGAGGCAGTGCGGCAGCATGTGGCGCAGATACGGCAGCTGGAAAAGCAGATGTATTCTATCATGAAGGTAGTCTCCTGGGGTAGGGAGTGTGAGGGTAGGGAGGTCTCCTAAGACATGGGAAATCTCTCAGTTTCTCCTGTTCTGGCTCCCTAGTCTTTGCAAGATGATAGCAAGAATGAGAACCTGCTTGACCTGAACCTAAAGCTTCAGTTGCAGCTAAACCAGGAGAAGGCCAACCTACAGCTGGAAAGTGAAGAGCTTAATATCCTCATCAGGTGCCACAGCATTCTCCCCATGCCCTTTTCCAGTGCCCAAGATGGAGTCAGTTTCTTTTGCCTGCATTCTGATAGTCTTTAGGTCTAGTGTATGTTATCAAAGGCTGATGTAGTAGATTCAGGCACCTTTTCCTGAATGAGCCTTGTTAGACTTGGCCAACAGGTTGAGAACAGGAGAGCCCTTTTTTTAAGATCCTTACTAGAGTACCTCAGGGAAAAGGAGAAAAACAAGTAGTTCAGAAAGATCATTTTTGTGGCCATGATGCTGTGCAACTGAACTAAAAATAAAATGTTTTAAAGTTGATCAGTAGGGAACACAAATGCAGATATAATCGTAGGGGTTATTAGTAGGAGCAGCTTACTTCAAGAAGCTGTAGAACTGAAGATGGCATTTGTGCTCACATGGCAGAATGTGAGAAACAATGAATCCAATGAAAATATTTAGGGAATAGTTGTTCTAGACTAGGTCCATCTCTGGGTTTACCTCCTGCATCATTCTAGGGCATTCCACCCCACCTCTAACCCAAATGCTGTTGCCCATATTGGCTTTGACCTTCCTATCCTTTTATAGGTGTTTTAAAGATTTCCAGTTGCAGCAGGCCAACAAGATGGAGCTGCGAAAGCAGCAAGAGGATGTGAGTGTGGTCCGCCGCACCGAATTCTACTTTGCTCAGGCACGATGGCGCTTGACCGAGGAAGACGGACAGCTAGGGATTGCTGAACTGGAGCTGCAGCGCTTCCTCTACAGCAAGGTATTGGGTATATACAGTCACACAAAGACAGCTGTATTAAGAGGCATTGACCTTTCTCAGGAGTCTTAACTCACAAAGAGAGACTATTATTTTATTGTTATTGGTGGTATGCGTGGTTATTAAAAATGATAGAAACATGAGCAGAGAGAGTACCCCTCACACACATTTGTTTGTGATAGTACATAATAGAGATATAGATGAGCTTGATCCAGTGCTTCCTTCATTGAAGGAGGTAATTATTCTATATGGCCAGAGGAAAGTAGTCTCCCAAGTCCAGCTTAGAATAGAATCATTAATTCTATACTGGTGTACATCTTTCCTGCAGTTACCCTTGGCATGGAGGACAGGACTTTCTTCATTATTCTTCCATCTCCCCTAGAGATGTTTGGAAATGTGTTGAGGCCATTTTTTAATGTCATAGGGACTGGAAAGTATTGTTGGCAGTTAGTGCCCTGGCCATCAGTGCCCATTAGAAATACTGGATTAGAGGGTGCATTGACTCTAAGAATGAAAGACATAGCAAAAGCATATGTAGAACCTGAAAACAAATGATATAGGTAGCAGTCCTCTGGCAAGCTCCTGAGAAAGGCTTATTATAGTGGATTGGGGGTTGCGATCTGTTTTTATAGGTGAATAAATCTGATGACACAGCAGAACATCTTCTGGAGTTGGGATGGTTCACTATGAACAATCTCCTCCCTAATGCTGTCTATAAGGTAAGTCTTAGTTCCCTATTCCTAGCCCATTTACAGGCTTCCTAACACTGGGCATTTGCAATGACACTTCCACATAAACCCAACTATGGGAAAGAATGTGGTGATGTGAGATGGAAACCTGCCTAGTTTACCAAGACCATTGCTGCTTTTCTTGGCCTGCAGAGGATTTGTGGATTGACTTATCACTGTCTATCCTACAGGTAGTCCTGCGGCCCCAGAGTTCCTGCCAGTCTGGGCGACAACTGGCCCTTCGCCTCTTCAGCAAAGTCCGGCCCCCAGTTGGGGGTATTTCTGTTAAGGAGCACTTTGAGGTTAGCAAACACTCCTTTGGGGACCCAGGAACACAAGGCAGTTAAAAGCTCTCTGTGCGTTGTTACATTAGGGATAGGTAAACTGAGGGATGATGTCTGAGCTTAATTGCTTCTTCAGCCTTTCTCCTCTTTAGGTAAATGTGGTGCCTCTCACCATCCAGCTGACACACCAGTTCTTCCATAGAATAATGGGTTTTTTCTTTCCTGGCCGAAGTGTGGAAGATGATGAGGTTGGTGATGAAGAAGATAAGTCCAAACTGGTGACTACTGGTGAGAACTTTAATGGGGAGCTCCAGAGGACTGGGGTCACAGCCCCAGAGACGGCTGAAGCTTCCGAAGGAGGACAACAGCTAGTGTACTTGCTTTTTCGTAGGAATACCAGTGGTGAAGCCTCGGCAGCTGATTGCAACAGATGATACAGCACCACTGGGCCCTGGGAAGGGTGTGGCACAGGGCTTGAATCGGAGTTCTGGGGTCAGAAGGTCATTTCGCAAAGCACCTGAGGTACCAGACATGCCCCTGATAATAGGAAAATGGGAGAGTCCTAGGGTACTCTGTTTGGCCTGGCTGGGGATTTCTTTTGTTTCTTTTTGAGTCTACTCCAGGGATGAAAGGAGTTGGAGATGTTTGGGGTCCTGAATTTCCTGTGATGGCTTGAGGGGTACACACTTCTTTCCTTCTATTCCTAGCACCCTGTCGATGATATTGACAAGATGAAAGAGCGAGCTGCCATGAACAACTCCTTCATCTATATAAAGATCCCACAGGTTCCACTGTGCGTCAGCTACAAGGTCTGCCCTTCCCCAGCACTTTGTTAGAACAGTATGGAAAGGGTACCAGATAAGATCAGAGATTAAAAACAGAGATAGTGAAGGTGGTCTGTGGGTAATGTGCTATTCCCTCTGGATTCCCTTAGGAATCAGTATCAGACTGAGATAGTGAGAAATCAGTATCTGTAGGTTGCTGCTGCAGAAAGATACCAGATGTAGACTCAAGTACTGGCTTGGACTAAAAATGGCAGCCGATACATTTTTTTTTCTCTTCTCTTCCCTCTCACTCTTTCTCTTGCAGGGTGAGAAGAACAGCGTGGACTGGGGTGACCTTAACCTGGTGCTACCCTGTCTGGAGTACCATAACAACACATGGACGTGGCTAGACTTTGCCATGGCTGTCAAGAGGGACAGCCGCAAAGCCCTGGTTGCCCAGGTATCCCGGCAGAGTTCATGGCTGTTTGGTTAGCAGAGGCTGGCAAGCAGATCCTCTGCTCAGGGGCATTTTGTTGTAACATGTATGTGTTACCAGGCAGCCATGGGAAGGGGGCACGTGAATGGAGTGATTTTTATTCCTGTCCTCTCCATGACTTTGCTCAGATGGTTAAATTGAATGTCTACTGAGTGTTTCATATATGTTAACAACTGTTGATTTTTAGGGAAGTGAGGACTGACATAAATTCATGTTTAGAACGGGTTCTAATAGACTGTAAGCTTCTTGAGAGCAGAGATCGTTTAATAATCTGAATTGCCCCCATTGTGTGTCCATGTAAGTTTAATAAATACTGACTTGGTCCACTTAACTTACTCTGCCTGTCCCATTAATATTTACCTTCCCTTTTACTCCTCTCTAACCTATCAGGTAATCAAAGAGAAGCTAAGGCTGAAGCCTGCAACAGGGTCTGAGGTCCGGGGAAAACTAGAAACTAAATCAGACCTCAACATGCAACAGCAGGAAGAGGAGGAGAAAGCCCGGCTCCTCATCGGTTTAAGTGTGGGCAACAAGAATCCTGGGAAGAAGTCCATCTTTGGCAGGCGCAAGTGATCCGGCAATCCAAGAGAGGCTGCAGTACAGGATCTGACTGACTCAGGCCCCAGGGACTTGTGGGGTGGGAGGTGTTTCCCTTCATCCTTTAGGATCTGTGGGGGTCAGGAGCCCACAGGGTGCTGTGGAGAGAGGCCCTGCTCTTTAACAGCTGGCTGGTTCCTTGCAGACCATGATGGATAATGCTGAGTTCTACCTCACACTGATCAGCAGGGCCAGGGCCAGAGAGGCATCAAGAGAGCAAGACCCAGGGAATGGCTCCAAGGCCAGAATCTGGTTCCCTTGGGATCAACTGAAAGGATTGGGGGGGGGGGACAGTTCTGATCAAGTGTGATAAATTTTTATAAATAGGCATATATAAAAAATACATACATATATATATATATATATATATATTTGTAAGTGTAACTGCTCTCCCTATGTGCCAGAAAGTGGAGGGGAGGGGCTGATCATCTGTCCCTCATCCCACCACCCTGTATGAAAGTGGTATTAGTGTTCTGGGGGAATCAGCCCCTCCCCAAACTGTGCCAAGCTCACTTTGGAGAATGGCAGTAGGAGACAGGGCTGGCCATGGATCTCTCTCCCTGGGCTATCCCCTGAAGAATGGTTAAAAAAAAAAAAGTGATTTAAAGAGAAAAAATATATTTTAAATTTGATGATGTTTTTTTTTTTCTAATTGTAATGAGTGTATGGTTTCAGCCTGTATCCTTTTCTCTCCATCAATCCAAGAAACCACCAATCCTAGCTGCCACTCTTGAGGGTGGCTTCTTCCTTCCTACCTGAAGCTGTATCTCAGATATTTCCCAGCTCTTATGTGACATGGGTCCCATGCTGACAGATCTCTGCATATTTTAGTCCTGGCTCTAAGCTGTTCACCAGGGCGATAGGATTTGGGGATAAGGGTGAGGTTTGACGGCATCATTTGCATCTCTAGTTTGAACAGCAAGGAGAAGAGGAGGGGCTTGTGTATAACAGCACTGGGGGAGGAACTGCTTATGTAACTGGGGCAGCAGATGTAGCAGAAGGAGAGAGGAGGCAGAAGCTGGGGATGGGAGCAGTGAGCTGCCGGCAGGGGCACCATGCCCAGATGGCTGCTTCTCATAAGGTAGGGTGTGGGGCCTCTGGCAGATTCTTTAGGGGAGGTGAAAGAGGCATGTATTTAAGGCCTGGCAATTGGCGGTGACAGTGTTGTCCACTGTGGGGGTGGGGCAGGGAGGCTTTACTATCAAAGTAGCTATCCCAGCCCCATAGTGAGAGGTGCAGGCTGAATCTCTGATGCCATATGGGGGAAATGTCCAAATATTGCTTTCCTAGAGGATTTTAATTGTGTCCAGGAAATCCAGACCTTGGCTTGATGCAAGGGCAGTGGCCATCTTGCCTGGGCCAAATCTATGTCTTTAGGGTTGAGATTTGAGGGAGTGCCTGCTAAGATGGGCAGAACCTGTAATGCCTCAGGGGCAGAAAGTTTAGTGGCTCCTTTGGTTCTCAGCAGGGTGGCAACATCCAGGGCCCCTGGGTCCAAGGCTGGAAGAGCCTCTGGTCAGGTGTGGGGACCACAAGGTCAGGTGTGAAAGAACTGTGGGGACTACGGGGGCATCAGTTCCTGCATCGGGAGCCCCTGGAGCCAGCCCCACTGCTAGTAGAGAAGCCGCTGCCTGAATGGCCAGTGCCTCAGCTCATCAACCTCTTTCTGCCGGAGTTTCCTATTAGGCCTCTTAGGGGGCATCAGCAGCTAAAGGTAGGTCAGTGGAATCCCTGGAAGGGGTCTCAGTCTTGGGGAGAAATCAAGAAACAAGAGTCTCAACTGCCCTGTTCTCCACTTATCTGTATAGATTTTAGGCCTTGTGGCTAAAGGCTCCTTTGGAACGGTCCTCAAGGTGCTAGACTGTGGCCAGAAAGCAGTATTTGCAGTGAAGGTAGGGACCTAGATACTCCCATATTCTCTAGTCCCTGCCTCCAGCCTTGATTCCGGAGAGGTTGGAGGAATAAACACTTCCCCTAGCATCACTCCTCTCCTTTCATAGGTGGTGCCCAAGGCGAAGGTCCTACGGAGGGACGTCCTGAGGCAGTGCAAAGAGGAGGTCAGCATCCAGGTACGCAGTGTGCACACAGCTCTGGAAAGGCTCCTCGGAAGAACCAAACGGCAGGTGGAGGAAGCACCTTCTTTGTCCAGCTAGCTTGCTTTTCCTGGCTCTGACCCCTCCCTCTGCTGTAACCGGAAGATCTCAGGAAATGCAACTATCGGTAGAGTGATTCTAGGTCCTGGGAGAAAACTCTCCAGCAAATCCAGTGTGTTCCTTAGTGGTGGGGTACCAGGCAGGCAGCCTGAACTGAGAGGTGGGGCAGCAGCTTCCTTTCTGCACAACTAGGTAAAGCCTGACTTCTGGCTGCCTTGATCCTCAGTGACCCTCAATGTTCCTCACTTCTTCGTCCATAGCGACAGATCAACCATCCTTTTGTACACAGTATGGGGGACAGCTGGCAGGGAAAACGACACCTCTTCATTAGTGAGTAACTGGCTTCTCTCCTCATTCCCAAGGGTACTTTTGCTGTACTTCCACCTGAGATTACCCATCCCTTTGGCTTGTTCTGCCTTTGCTCTGTTCCCCTTCTTGTAGTACTGCTCTCTCCCAGAGGGAGAGGGGACAGCAGGTGGCATCGGTTTGGGCAGCAGGCATACAGTGCCCTGCGCCCAGGCACAGTAGGCCCCAAGTATCGCCCAGACTTCTGGTGCTTTGCAGTGTGCAGCTACTGCAGCACAGATCTGTACTCCGTGTGGTCTGCTGTTGGCCGCTTGACTGAGGCTTCCATCCGCCTTTTTGCTGCTGAGCTGATCCTGGTGCTGTGTAAGTGAAACAGGAGTGGTAATGGAAATGAGGAAGGAATTAAGGAGGGAGGGAGGAGGCAGGAGAGAGCTGAAGTCAACAGGGATAGAAATGGGGTGGGAGCTATCAGGGAAATTAGGACAAAGAGCTTCAGTAACCCTCATGCTTGCTGTCATCCACAGGCTATCTCCATGACTTGGGCATCATCCATCGAGATGTGAAGGTAATTAAATGTTTTGTTTTTGAGGAGGGACTTCAGTAAGACATTCCAATAGATCCAAGAAGGTGGGAGGAGCTGCTGAGAACAGTTGACCTTGGGACTCTCGTGGGTGTTAAGGATTTGGGCAAGGGCCCTCCAAGTATAGACTTGGCTGCTGAGCAAGGGCATCTTCTTCAGCTGAGGATACACATGATGAAAAAGGGGTGAAAGGAAGAGAATGAATAATAACTTCTCACCTCTGGTTTTTCAGATGGAGAATATTCTTCTGGACGAACGAGGTAAGTCATTTCTTTTTCTAGTCCCAGAGTAAGAGGCACCGCAGTTTGGAAATAAGTCATGACTGATAAGGGTTGGAACAGAGTGGTGCTGATGCCTTGTTTTTCACAGGCCATCTGAAACTGACAGACTTTGGTTTGTCCCGCCACCTGCCCCAAGGAGCCCGAGCCTATACTATCTGTGGCACTCTTCAGTACATGGGTGAGGGAGAGGCTAAAGCTGATGGGTAAGCAGTAGGCAGGAGGAAAGCCAACAGATGTCAGTGACAAGTATCTTTCAAATCTGTAGCGCCCGAGGTCCTGAGTGGAGGGCCTTACAACCATGCTGCTGACTGGTGGTCCCTGGGTGTCTTGCTTTTTTCTCTGTCAACTGGAAAGGTGAGAGAATGGTAGTGACGTTGGGCAAAGAAGAGAGGAGTTGCTTTCTGGTGGGAAGAAAGATGTTAAGAAATCTTCCCTCATTCTAAGCAATGACATCTTCCCACCCCTTAACTCAGTTCCCAGTGCCAGCAGAGAGAGATCATGTGGCCATGTTGGCAAGTGTGACCCACTATGACTCTGAGATCCCATCTTCCCTTAACCAGGGGCTCTCACTCCTACTCCGCGAGGTAAGGGCGAGCACGACTTCACTACCAAAACCTTAATTTCTTTCCCTATCACTGAAGTGGTATGTCCCCAATCCTCTGATTAGTTATTGGTGATGGGCAGGTATGGGGGCTATTCCAACTTGATCAAGTACTACCTCACTACTTGCCTTCTAACTAGCACTTCGGACTTTATACCTGAGTTCCTGATCCTCCAAAGCTCGTCCCCATCCATAGCAGGTCACTTCTGAGAGTGCTGCTCTCTTATCAATACAGCTCCTTTATTCCTACTGCTGCCCCCAAATTAGCCTATTTCCCCCACTTTTACATATCCTCTATTCTTTTGGGTTCTTCTCCCTGCCCTCCACAGATCCATGAACTTCTTTCTCCTTTTCCAGCTTCTCTGTTCCATCCCTTTCATACCCCAGTCTCTCCTCCTTCATGTTCTGTTTTCCTTCAGCTCTTACACCAGGATCCCCTTCACCGTCTACGTTATTTGCATCACTTCCAGGTCCACCCTTTCTTCCGGGGTGTGGCCTTTGACCCAGAGCTCCTACAGAAGCATCCAGTGAACTTTGTCTTGGAGACACAAGCTGCCCAGTCTAGTCCATCATCGGAGTCCATGTTTTTCAAGGACTTTGACTGTAATCTGGAGTCCTTCCTGGTCCACCCGAGGCTGGCTTGAGCTTCTCTACTGGAGTTGGGGCCCATCCAGGAACTTGAGGACTTCCTCCACTGCCAGCTCACTGTGACCACCTGATGATCAGTTTGTTTTCACTTTGTAGCCTCTTATCACTTTGTTCCTCTAGGTGTTGAACCAGAGTTCAGACTGGGTGTTCTGTTGGCAGCCATGATGCCCTAGTCCTTACCTCATCATACAGCTTATCTCAGTCTCAGATCAGAGTATGGACCTTTACCTTTATTTCAGTTCTCCGGTGCTTATACCCTGCAGTTTTTAGCCAGAAGTTTATTCCACTTTTCCTTCTTGTTTCTGTGCCATGTTTCCTTTCATGAGCAAAACATTTCATGGGTTCCCAAGGTGCTATTTATGTGTTTAATAGGCTTGTCAGAAGCAGTATGAATATTTTTCCGAAGTCTCAAAAGCTAGCATTTATTTCAACCCCTAAATATGCGGGTAAAACATATGATTTAGGGCCCAAAGTCAGTCTAATTTTTAAAAATTTAAAAAGTTAAATCTAATAGCATACTGTGAGGAAGAGAATAAGAAATGAAACATGGGGGGTTACATGTCTTCTTTAGGGGTAACTGGAATAACTATCCACATTTTTTCCAAAACAAAACCTCTTTGAAAGAGATAAGTATTCTTAAACTGACCTCTTCCCTAGATGGCCAAGGGTTTAGTTTCTGATGTGCAAACCAATGGATTAAGAGGCATGACATCAACTTTGAGATTTAAGATAAGAGATGGAACTCAAGAACCTTTTCCTTTAGGAAAATAATCTGAACCTTAAAATTGTATACATTTCTGGCCTTCATGACTTCTTTTCATTTTTCTTTAACTTCCTAAAAGCTTCACTTTCATTATTCTTCAGTCATATCTGAAGAGAGTCTGGGAAGTACTCAAGTACTGTTTATTAATTTTGTCCCTGGTTTAAGCCAGATTTTCCCTGTACATAGCTGGCATTTTATTGACCTCTGCAGAACTGCTTTTTCTGAATTATACTTTGACAATCCATATGAAAATCCCTATGAAATTTAATTGCTGTGGATACTGTAAAGGGTGTTTATAGATCATAATGTTCTATATATGGATGTATGTGAGAAAATTTTCTCTGAACCCAATTGTGCTTTTCCTCAATTGCTGGTTGGTTTTTATCTTAAAGACAATTTACATTCAACTGAGTTTATTTTTCTTTTCATATGATGCTAGACCACTGAGAGCCCAGTTTGTGGTCCACTTCCAGCAAGTGTTTAGGACCTCATGTTATGTTTTGTATGCTAGCCATGTTCTTGGTTCCATCCTCCTTTTCTGCCTTTACTTTTCTTATTTTCATTTTTCTGTTTTAATCCTTTTTAAAAAATCTTAGTAGATTACCTCCATCTTTGTAAGCCTTTTAGAATTAGGTTGATATATAAATAAATAATGTGTCCTTAAGCCTTTTGACTATCTCATTTGTTTCTCTTCAGAGACTTTTTAAGCTTTATTACATATTTCTAAAGTTGTCATGACCAGAACTTCACATTGTATAAAAAACAAATACTAGAAATAGAAACTAATGGCTTTTAAAACAGTAAAGAGCATTAGACTGGAATTTAGGAGACCTGGTGACTTGATCCACCAACAAATATCTCAGTGTAAGAGGCCTCAGAAGAAGCCAACTCTGCTGACACCTTGATCTGACTTCTAGGCTCCAGTATTGTGAAAAAATAAATCTCTGTTGTTTAACCCGTCTGGTCTATGGTGCTGCATTTTATTTAACCCAATATATCTAAAACTATCTCAACATAGCTCAGTTGGTAAAGAATCCACCTGCAATCCTCCTGGTTCAATTCCTGGGTTGGGAAGATCCCCTGGAGAAGGGAAAGGCTACCCACTCCAGTGTTCTGGCCTGGAGAATTCCATGGACTATACAGTCCATGGGGGTTGCAAAGAGTTCGACACAACTGAGCGACTTTCACAACATGTAATCAACATTTTAAAATAAGGTATTCTTTTTTTTCAAACAAAGTCCTCAAAATCCAGTTTGTTTTTTACTCCTACAGTCTCAGTTGGACTCGCCACATTTGAAGTGTCAGTAGCCACATGTGGCTAGTGGCTCTGTTACTGGATAATACAGAAGAGCCCATCCCCTGAGAGCCCTGAAGTTCATAACATGGTTTTTCCTCCCTGGGCTATTGCCTTTTCCAAATTCATTATGACTTCAGAGTGTCAATAACGTGCCTGCGAGTGTTCAACCGAACATACTTTATAATAAACTATAACTCCAAATACTTACCTTTAGGCTGTTTTCCAAAATCAGTCCCATCTCCAGTAGCTAGTTTCCCACACGGGTCTCAAGCGACAGTAGAATATAGTTGGTAGTGTGGGTGGCAATCTGTACCCTGCCACTTACTACCTGCGGGGCATTGGACAAAAGACATTACGTGTGACTCAGTTCCTGTGTCTGTAAAACGGGGATATTTACAGCACCTATTTCATAGCTCTTTTCAGGATTAAAGGAGATAAGATATAAAAGGCATCTGGAAGAGTGCCAGGTGCCTAATAAATGTCCAAATACTTGTAAGCTATGACTGTTCCAGTAAACTTGTTGCGGGCTCTGAGGTAAGTCCCAAGAAAACACGAGAAATTCTGGAGAGGTTAAATGACAGCGCAGGCTGTTTGACGCCATCACGGAAGCAGGACCTGTACGCGGACCGAGCAACCTAAGTAAAAAAATAAAAAAACAAAACCACTCCACTCACCTTCCCTTCTAGACCCCTCGGCCGGCTCCTGCCGGTCACGGCTAAAGTAACCGTGGAAAACCTGAGGGAGAGACTTCTAAGGCCAGGCCACGGGGACAACTTTTTTTTGGAGGGGGGGGGGGGACGACAACTTTTTTGACTGGGAGTGAGAGTGGCCTTCTCGAAGCTAGAGAGATGGGTTCCTCGACCGTCCAGCTACCCGTTACGCTCTCGGAGGTGAGGCCGAAAGACTGGCCTTGGGCGTTGAGCCCCCCGCTCCCACCGCCCGCATCGAGGGTTGATGCTGGGGATCAGACAACAGGGCACACGAGCGCGCGCCCACAGTGGACATGGCCGGGCGGGGCCAATGCAAGCCCGGCCCTTGCCCGCCGGGCTCGAGTCCGGAGCCGACGCGCCCGCCTGACGCACTGAGGTTTCGCAGCCAATCGGGAAGCGTGAAGCAGGTTCAAATAAAGACGGCGGGTAGGCATGGCGTCGTCTCTTACATGTGGGAGGTGTTCACCCCGCGTTCTGTGTTGAAGATGTGGCGTGTGAAAAAACTCAACCTGTCGCCTTCGCCCCAACCGGTGAGCCGAAGGGCCTCATGTAGCGAGAGACTTAGACCGGGGTTTCGGGGGTCTCTGGCTGTGCCGAGCGTCTTGGAAAGCAGAGTTGAGCCTGAGGCGGGGGGCGTGAGGAGTTTTCCGGTCCTGATATTCGGAGCACTGGGGTTGGAGCCTACTTTTGTTTATTGCTCGTGAGCTTGTGAGGGAGGGAGGAGAGCTTCTTAGGGCCGGTTGGCAGAGCCCAGGCTTACTTTCATCCTCTCTTCTTTCTTAGGGAAAAGCAGCTATGAGAACACCTCTTCGAGAACTCGCCTTGCAGCCCGACGCCCCCACCAACTCTGGAAAAGGGCCCCCACACTCGCCGACCCCATCACCATGCAAACTGGGGCTGCAGGTGAGATTCGCTTGGCCAGTCTCTCGACTGGGCTCTTTGCCGAGACCGAGAGCTCAGAGGGCCAGGGCTGGAACGTAATTAATAACGATAATGAAGTTTTCTACCTAGGCGACATCCATTTACATCTATTCAGGCCAACAGAGAGGTGCCCTAGGGTCGTTAAAGGAAATCCACTGAGAGCCCACATCTCTAGGTGTTAGTTTTTATCTCCTCCTCCCCCGTCCAGTCTTTACCAAACGTCTCCGAAATACTCTCACTTTGATTAGTGGTCTCCTCTTAATAAGGGCTCACTTATGGAGAAGTCAGTCAGCTGCAAGAATGAGCCAATATCCATCCGTTGGGAGAGGTAGTCAAACGCTTATTTATATTATTTGCTTATTTTTCTATTGGGTTGTTATCTCTTTTTCATTATTTTCTAAGTGTTCTTATTATATTATAGTCACCCTTTGTCATGCTTTTTAGCTAGTTTATAACTTTCTTTTGATTTTTACCTTTAATCCTGGGGTTATCTAGGAGGGATTCTTGATTTCCAAGCGCTTAAAAACCATTTTGTGTCACCTTTTAAATTTATTTTTCTTACGTTATGATCAGACTGTAATCTGCTGTCTTTTTAGCCAAGTATAGGGTGAATTTTTTCTGAGTGTTCTGTGAACATATGAAAAAAAGCATATTTGCTATTCAAAGGATATCACATTCTATTATATCCATAAGCAGATAGTTAATTGCCCTGTCCTTGCCCGTTTTTCAGTCTGCCAGATCTGTTGAGTTTTATGTTGTTGTCCTTGTTCAGATTTGGTATCAGTGTAATTTTGGCCTTGTAAAATGGGTTAGGAAGTGTTCTTTTAAATTTTTTGGAGGAGCTTGAGACAAATGGGCATTACATTTCTTTGAATGATTGGTAAAATTAAACCTGTGAAATGATCTGGTCCTGGACATTTCTGGAAGTTTTTGAGCATCTCTTCATATGCTTGGAGAAAGAAATGGCAACCCACTCCAGTATTGTTGCCTGGAGAATCCCATGGACAGAGGAGCCTGGCAGGCTGCAGGCTATGGGGTCTTAAAGAGTAGGACACGACTGAGTGACTAACACACTTTCACATGCTTAGTTGTCATTCACATAGTTTCTTTGGAGAAATCTATTCAAGTCCTTTACCCATTTTTAAATTGGATTATTTTTGTTGTTGTTGAGTTGTAGGAGTCCTTTGTACATTCTGGATATTAACCCCTTTTCAGATATATGACTTGCAAATGTCTACTCCTTAAGGAATAAATAGGAACTTAATAAACACAGCAAAAGCTTTAAGGTGCATTTTTACATTTCTAAAAGTGTTTGTTTTGTATATATTTAACTTTTGGGCTATGTAGTGCAGACTGATTTTTTTTTTCATCATATAGCTTTAATTTTGTCTTGTCACAGTATTGCTATAACTTTACATTCTACCTTGTCTGATACTAATATTGCTGCCTCTGCTTGCTTTGTTTTTGCCTGATATCTCTTTGCCATCCCTTTATTTTCTACTTTTCTTAAGCACTTTGAAATAAAAACTTAAAAATTTGAAGTAAAATACCTGAAAGTACATAAAACATGGAGCCTAACAAGTTTGTATAAAGCACACATCATTGTAACCAATACCCAAGGACACTGCTAGAATATCAGAAGCCCTTTTTAGTTCAATCTTGCGTTTCATCCTGTGCTGTAAATGAGGAATTTCGTATAAGTCTGACTCTTTTTCTTTTTTCTTTCTTTTTTTTAAAAAAATAAATAATTAGTCTTTTTATCTAAAGCTTCTAAAATATCTTGTTCCTGTAGTTTAGAAATTTTTTCATTTCCTATCAATCCTGCTTAGAGCTTGGTGAGCTATTTTAATATGCAAACTCAAATCTTTCTTTACCTTAGAGAAATTTTCTTCTAATACTTCTTAATCAGTGCCACACTTATGGGTGTTCTCCTTTCTCCCAGAGATTCTTTTATTCACATGTTATGTTTACTAGATATATCTTCCAATTCTCTTAGCTTTTCCCTCAGATTTACATTTCTTTGTATCTTTAAAGGTTTTTCTTCCACTTGATTGTTCAGGCCAGCAATTCCTGTCTTAACCCTGATCATCCTCTTTTAATTCATATTACTGAAATTTTTTCTTTAGAAGTAATATTTATTATTTCCATGGGAATTTCTCTGGCAATCCAGTGTTTAGGACGCTGCACGTCCACTGCAGGGGGTATGAGTTTGATCCTTGGTAAGGGAACTAATATCTCACATGCCATGCAGCCAAAACAAAACAAAAAAATAATTTAAATATAAATAAATACAAGTAATATTTATTATTACAAGGAAGTCTTTGTGTGTGTGAGTTGTACTCAGATTTTCTTATGTATTCGTAAATTTGTGTTGGTGCAAATTGTCATCTCTTTCTTCCATCAGCTGTGTTTTGGTAGGGTCTACCTTTCTTAACTATCTCAGAGTTTGTCCTTTTTCTGGCTACTAGATCCACGTAAGTATATTCATATTTTCCTATTGTTGTTCATTGAATCTCAAAACCAGCAGTCCTGCAAGTGATAGAAAGTGCAGTGGTCTCTATCCCTGTGAACCACCAATTGAGAGGTTGTCAGTCCCTTGTCAGTGCACCAGGAAGAAGTCTTTCTGCCCTTCATTCTCCTCTGCTACAAAGGCTAGAGCTCTTCAGATCCCAAGAGTTGAATAGGTTCAACTCATATGTTTAGGATAACCTCAGTGCTTGCACCCAGGGAGACTAGGTCACTAGCATAGGTTAATGTTGCTTTTTCTCCCAAGGATACATGGATCTCTGTGGGCCAAGTGCTCTCTAACTTTAGTCCCCAATTTGTCATCTGTTCCAAAAAGAAGAAAATCTTATACCAACTCTAGAACTTGAGCCAGGGATCCCTCCTACCCTAGAATTAGGTTGGAGTTAGGATTGGAGAAGAGGAGGGTCATTTTCAAGCTACCATCTCCACATGACATGGACAGAATATCTTAGCCTTGTTTATACTGTAACCTGGTTCACTTGGAAGGACCCAGAACATCTTCCCAACTTTTCTACTGGGTCTCTGTAGTAAGCAGCAAGGCTTAGCTAAGTTCTTAACCTAGGCAAAGATAATGAGAACTTTCCTTTTCTGAGCTCAGACAGTATCCTGAACCCATAATTGTATATTGTGAACTAGAATTGACTATCTTAGTCAACTGCTTTTGTTTTCTTTGTCAGGAAGGCAGCAACAACTCATCTCCACCAGATTTTGTCAGTGCTAAGAAGACAGACTCCCCTTCAGAACAGTTTGGACATCCCTCGAAGTGGCTAGAAGCTTATCAACACAAATCAGATGAGCAGCCTCTAAATCTGATTCCCCAAACCAACTCTACTCCCAAATCCTGTGAGAAAGGAATAGACTCACTGGACAACAATGTGGTTAAAACCATGGTTCTTGTACCTTCTCCAGGGAGGCAGCAGCAAGATATTACACTTGTGGACTGTCTAGATACCATGGCAGAGGGAAATAGCTTCTCTCTAGATGAACCTCTGAGGCCAGGAGATCTGCTGAGAAAGGGAGTGGCCTTCTATACGGAAGACAGCTTTTCAGAAACTGTTCCTGGTATGCCTGAGATATCTACATTTCAGGATCCTCCATCCCAGCTCTTGGAGTCCCAACCAAATCCCTGTTCTGAGCAGCAGCTACACTGCTCCAAGGGAAGCCTGAAGGACAGGAGCACTGAGGCTGAGGCTGAGGACTTAGTTCCTTCTGAAAGTAACGCCTTGTTGCCTTCCTCCCTGCTCTGGCTTTCCCCTTCAACTGCCTTAGCGGCAGATTGCCCTGTCAGTCATGTGGACCCAGAAGGGGATAATTTAGAGCACAGAGCTATAGAGGAGAGGGAAATGGCCTTTCCCACACTCCCTGAGGAGGCTGAATTGGGACATCAAGCACTTGTGTCAAATACAGATGATATTCTGTCCACATGCCTAAGCCCAAATACTGGAGAAATGGAATCACAGGTGGCTCCTGGGCCAGCAGGAAAAGATGCCAGTGACATTCCTGGCTCTGATGTAGGGCCTTGGATGTCACCCCTGACCTGGCTGGAAAAAGGTGTCAATACCTCAGTCATGCTGGAAAATCTCCGCCAGAGCTTATCCCTTCCCTCTGCGTTTCGGAATGCTGCAATCGGCACTACCCCTTTCTCCACTTGCTCGGTGGGGACTTGGTTTACTCCCCCAGCACAACAGGAAAGGAGTACAAACACATCCCAGACAGGCCTGGTGGGCACCAAGAACAGTGCCTCTGAGACAGAGCACCTCCTGTGGGGGTAAGTGTCCTGTGTCTTTGTGCTCCAGGGCTTCATTTGCCTGGATGCATCACTCCCATCCTTCTCCCTCTCTTCTTCCCATGTTCTTCTCTTCCTACCACAGTCGTTCTCCAGATCTGACTACCTTGTCTCGACATGACCTGGAAGATAACCTGCTGAATTCTCTTGTCATCCTGGAGGTTCTCTCCCGCCAGCTGCGGGACTGGAAGAGTCAGCAGAGTGGCCCTCACCCCAAAGTTCGGGACAGCAGCACACAGACCGACACCTTTCCCAGCGAGGTAAGATAGTTCCTCCTGAAATGTGGAGGATCTCAGTGGGCCCTCTTCCTTAAAATAAGTATGAAAGCTGAGGGTCTGGAAGATCCCTTAGAGCTGTGGGTACACACTATACCCCTGGGATACATCAAGATTTTCCAAGGGAATGTAAGCAAGGAAAGTTTTTTTTTTTAATTTACTTTAATTGAAAAATAATTTTCTTAATCATCTATTTTAGTTGCTTTACAATGTTGCTTTGGTTTCTGCCATACATCAACAGCAAGGGAAGTTTTGAAGGAATTGTTTTCTAGATCTTCATCTTCCAAATGCACTGTTTCCAGATTTTTTTTTTCTGTCCACGCCATGTAACATGAGGAATCTTATTCCCCTGACCAGGGTTCGAACCCAAACCCCCTGCACTGGGAGCCTGGAGTCGTAACCACTGGAACACCAGGAAATTCCCTCACATAAATCTTGTACCTATAAGAATGGAAAATAGGCATCAGTTCAGTTCAGTCGCTCAGTTGTATCCTTCTCTTTGTGACCCTATGGACTGTGGCACACCAGGCCTCCCTGTCCATCACCAACTCCCGGAGTTTACCCAAACTCATGTCCATTGAGTCATTGATGCCATCCAGCCATCTTATCCTCTGTTGTCCCCTTCTCCTCCTGCCTTCAATCTTTCCCAGCATCAGGGTCGTTTCAGATGAGTCAACTCTTCGCATCAGGTGGCCAAAGTATTGGAGTTTCAGCTTCAGCATTAGTCCTTCCAATGAACACTCAGGACTTATCTCCTTTAGGATGGACTGGTTGGATCTCCTTGCAGTCCAAGGGACTCTCAAGAGTCTTCTCCAACACCACAGTTCAAAAGCATCAATGCTTTGGCACTCAGCTTTCTTTGTAGTCCATACAAAGTCATGTAGTCCATACATGACTACTGGAAAAACCATAGCCTTGACTAGACGGATCTTTGTTGACAAAGTAATGTCTCTGCTTTTTAATATGCTCTCTAGGTTGATCATAACTTTCCTTCCAAGGAGTAAGCATCTTTTAATTTCATGGCTGCAGTTACCATCTGCAGTGATTTTGGAACTCAAAAAAATAAAGTCTGTCACTGTTTCTGTTGTTTCTCCATCTATTTGCCATGAAGTGATGGGACTGGATGCCATGATCTTAGTTTTCTGAATGTTGAGCTTTAAGCCAACTTTTTCACTCTCCTCTTTCATTTTCATCAAGCATAGAATTGTTGAACTATGTCTTACTGTAGGAATTATAGTAATCCACAGACACTGAACTGGTAAGGGGAGGGCATCTTTATCTATTTCATTAGTATCATGAATGATCTCCAGTAAAATTTTACTAGGTATGTTTATGATTTTAATTATCATACTGATTCATATACAACTGATGAAAATGTTTGTCCAAGAGTTTTTTCATTTAAAGTCTTGTGGTCAGAGGAATTAGAAAATGTTTTAAATTTATCACAATTTAGGTAAACTTTTGTTGTTGTTGCAGAGATCTTGATTTAAAGTGTAAAAATATATTACATCAAGATAAAATTCTGAGAGGAGTAAAAATGGAGATTCAAGGAGAAAAAAGGATGATATAAAATTTCTGACTATTAAAGTGCTTGTGTGTGTATTTTTTTAAAATATCAAACATATTAAATTATGGTATTTGTCATTTATACCATTGGGTATATTTGAGGGTGATGTAACAGTTTTATTTCAAACTGTCAACATTTATAAGGTGGTGGAAATTATAGCCTTTGAACAATTTAAACATCAGAGTACTCCATCTTTCAAAATTATTGTAGGAGATATCAGAGGATAACAGTTAAAGACTATTGTCCTAGGGGATTCTTGCTGTGACAGCATAGGTTGAGGAAGTAAGGAATTGTGTCAGGGAAGGAACTGAGACCCTCTGTATTATGGCTGTTGAGATAATAGGGGCTGCTGCTAAGAAGAGATGGTCTCAGGAATTCCCTGGCAGTCCAACAGTTAGGACTGTATGCTCTCACTGCTGAAGGCCAGGGTTCAGTCCCTGGTTGGGGAACTGAGATCCCACAAGCCACTCAGCTCAGCAAAAAACAAAAAAAATGTCTTCTTTGGGTTGAAAATATCCTCAAATAATGACTTTACCTTTTGCCAAAATCCTGGAAACCACAGGCTCATCATTCTTCTAGCTGCTCAGTTTCTCTCCTGTGTTTTCTTATTTTTGTATCCTTTCCTCTGGTCCTTGACCTTGTTCTCCCCTGCCCCAAGTTGACCGTCTGTACCTTGAAGCTTGCCAAATCCTTTGAGAGACCACTGAAGCAGAACCAAGGAGAGGAAATGACAGTACCTTCAGCCATTCCCCATCACAGTCTCAGTCCCCTTGCTGCCACTTGGCAGCCTCATTGACGCTAATCTCATCACTGGCCTGACTGTCCAGTCCTAAGCAGTATGCGTGCCCTGTTCCAGGGCTCAGTGGGGGACTCCATGTCCTTACTGTATAACACAGTAGGAGGGAGGCCTGCTTTGCTGGGGCCAGGAGTGATGGACTCCAGGAGATCTGCCTCCTTACATCCAGACTGCTGCAACGTCGCGACTCAGCACTGCTCCTCCAGCACTAGGCTTTGCCTAGGCGATGTATGTCTTAACAGTGGTAATGAAGGCTTCCCACTTGTCTCTTGGAACTTTGAAGTTTCTTTACAGCTCTGCTGCCGGTTAGATCACAGTTACCTACTTCACATAGCGCACCAAGATTTTCATCTGCTCTAAGAGAGTGAGCAGACCTTAGAGATGAAGAAAATAACTGGTAAATAAATATTTGAGGAGGTTACCACTTTTGATAATCAGGTAAATGCAAATTGCAACATGAAATGCTATTTTCTTCTGATCAAATAGCAAAGAATAAAATAGATAGTGGTGGTAAATATTGTCCTATCATCAGTAAGGCATAAATTGGTTGAGCCTTTTTTTTAAAATGCTTTAAAACAGTGATATTTAACATTATTATTACTTAAACATTTTTTTTTTCCTCTTGTTTGAACATTATGCCTTTAAATGGGTTCAGCCTTTCTAAGGGCAGTTTAAACTGCTTAAAGCAGTTCAGACTTTTTGACCCAGTAACTCCACTTCTAGGTATATATCCTAAGGGGGAGAAAATTTCCGCACACAGATGATAATTTTAAAAACATGAAGAAGAAAATAATGGTACATCCATAAAATGTAGATATTCTACAGTTATTTAAAAATATGTTCATGAGGAGTTTTTTTGTTGTTTTTTGTTTGTATGTTTGTTTTTTGCCATGCCTTGCTGCATGCAGGATGTTAGTTCCCCGACCAGGGCTCAAAACCATACTCCCTGCAGTGAAAACAGAGTCCTAGCCACTGGACTGCCAGGGAGGTCCCCTGAAGAGTTTTTAATAGCATGGAAAAATAAGTAATGTAAGTTCATGGTAAAAGGAAATCATGTTTCACCTCTCAGAGGTTTTGAGGTGAAGTAAAATATCAGCAGAAGTTAAAAATGAGTGATACTCCACTTTGATAGGTCTTCCTAAAATACATATCCTAGTCTCAAGCTCTCAATGAGGAGAGTGAACATAAACTCAGAGCTAAATGACATTAGTATAATAAAATTAAGTAAGAAAAGCAGGACCCCAATTTTATTTATATATCTCAGTCCCAAAACCAATTGTGTTTTTTCTTAAGCATTACTGTCTTTCATCAAATCTAAGACACTATCAATTTTAAAAGCATACCAATGTCAGTGGTATTAAAATGTAAAAAGACAGTCACCTTATGGAATATGGTAATTTCCTTCTAAATCCGTAGTCTACAGCTTTTTTCACCCTGACACCTGAGGGAGGTAATAGACTCATCAGTTACAGTAAATCCCTATAGCAAGGAAATCTGGTGTGGAAGTATATTGAAATCTCTTGGGGTGAATGCTGTACTGTTGGTTGAGAATCACGGCTCTCAGTGGTGAAACTAATAATGAATCTTTTTCCATTCTGTTCACTTTTCCATTTCTAAAATTTTATAGTAAACACATAATCAGAAGAAAGTTATTTTAAATTTTACTTACTTATTCAGTTTTGGCTGGGCTGAGTCTTCGTTGCTACATGGGCTTTCTCCAGTTGCAGCAAGTGGGGGCTGCTCTCAAGTTGTGGTGCCTGGGCTTCTCACTGCGGTGGCTTCTCTTGTTACAGAGCTCAGGCTCCAGGCGTGAGGGCGTCAGTGGCTGTGACACATGGGCTCAGCAGTTTCAGCCCCCAGGCTCCAGAGCCCAGGTTCAATAGTTGGGGCACAGGAGCTTAGTTGCTCTGTGGCAAGTGGGATCGTCCCGGATCAGGGATCAAACCCATGTCTCCTGCATTGGCAGGTGGATTCATTACCACTGAGCCACCAGGGAAGCCCCCCAAAATATTTTTTAAAGTAATTTTTAGATTACTTTTAATTAGAAAAGTAATTTTGTTTTTAACCTACCTCTGGATTTTTTTCTAGCTTGGCTTCATCAAGGCATGAGCTTTGCTCCTGCTTTTAATGGGAAGGGCTCCTGTATATCAGTGGGTGGGAGGGGGAACAAGTGCTGGCAGTGCATATCATTTCTGCAAAGGGAACAACCCTGTTTCTCTGGCTAGATGAGTAAGAAACCTCAGCATCTTCAGGAGAGCCAGGAGGTTGGACAGGCTCTGCAGCAGGCCAGGAATGTCATGGTAAGTGTTGACTGACCTTAGACCATTGCTGGGTCTCCTGTGAGGGTCAAGAATGGAGTGGTGAGCAGATGATGGTACTCAAACGTGGGAGTGAAGGGAGGTTTCCTTTTGTTAAGGACATGTCTTCCTTACTGGGAGCTTGAAATTGGGTCAGTGGCTTTCCTCCAGTGTCCCTGCTTGCTTCCTGCTTAATGGCTTTATTTGGTCTAGCCTAACCCCCTCTGCCTCTACAGCAGTCATGGGTGCTCCTCTCTAGAGAGCTGATATCCTTGCTTCACCTGTCTCTGCTGCACTTGGATGAAGATAAGACTGCTCTGAGTCAGGAGGTAAGCAGCATGAAGATGGAGGCAGAGGCCTCTGGTGAGACTGAAATTCAGCCAAAGAAAGAAACCATACACAGTATCTGATTCTTATCTTGTAGACTCGGCGTGCAGAAACCTTGGTGTCCTGCTGTTTTGATGTGTTGAAGAAACTGAAGGCCAGGCTTCAGAGCCTCAAAGCAGAAAGGGAGGAGGCAAAGCGCAGAGAGGAACTGGCCCTCAGAGGCAAGGATGCGGTAAGGTGTCAGGCTTTGGTTCCTGGATGAGGGAGGTCTCTTCCTAAGGTTCCTGCAGGAATACAAATTGACTAGAGTCACAGATGGGTGGCCTGAGAACTGCCTGCCCTGGGGAGTAATGAACTCAGCTACTGGTGTGATGGGTAGTTAACGGTTTTTTGTGCTGTTTCCTTCTGTGCACGATGTCCTCACAGCCTCTTATTTAAACAGGCAGAGACAGTGCTAGAGGTCTTCTGTGCACATGCCAGCCAGCGCATCAGCCAACTGCAACAGGACCTGGCATCCATGGGGGAATTCAGAGGCCTTTTGAAGGAGACCCAGACCCAACTGGTGATTGACGGCATCTTCTTCCCTGGGATCCACATTGACACACCGGGAGGGGGGGTCATGTACCCATGTTTCCCTGTATCCAGTGGGAAGGGGCACCTCCATTGCAATCCTTCTCATGTAGGTAGGGCTTCACACTGAGCAAGAAGAGGTGGCTCAGCAGACAGCGAGTCTTACTTCAGCCTTGCAACAGGACTGGATAGCCATGCAACTGGATGTGAGTATCAGCAGGCATTATACTGCTCCTCTGCTCACAGCCAGCCCTGTTAGAAGTCTTTTTTCAAGCGTGCTCTCTTGACCTATTTGCCTCCCCCGGTAGTATGTAACATGGACAGCTCTGCTGAGCCGGTTTCGACAACTTACGGAGAAATTTACAGCCAAGAGCCGGCAGACCCTGCAGGAACGTGATGCTGCAATTGAGGAAAAGCAGCAGGTACACAGGAGAGGGGACTGCTTAGGCCTGGTTTCCTCCTCCTTCTCCACAGAAGACCTTTCTGATGAGTGGTATCATTAGCTTCTTCCCCTTGACCTATCTTCTTTCCATCTGTGGGTTTGGAGACCAGCCGGTCCCTTTGCTGTTAGATGGCCTTCCACACCTTCTTCATCAGTTTTTCTCCTGTTTCTGCTTTTTCCTGAGGACTAGACTTATTTGCTACAGTGAACAAGGAGATTGGCTGTCCTGTCTGGACAGAGAAACTGGACTAAGTCTTGGGACTCCTGATTCAGGAGGAACTGTGGGAAGAAAACTATCTTTTTCTCCTAGGTTTCCAGGGAGCTGGAACAAGTCTCTTCCCATTTAGAGGACTGCAAAAGCCAGTTAGAACGACTGGAGTTGGAAAACAGCCGCCTGGCAGCAGGTGTCCATGGGTGCAAACAGTTGTACCCTGCTGAGGCTTGGGGTGTGGCCGCGGAGCAAGCAGCTGCTCTAGAGCACTTGTTTTAGAGCAGAGGTGTGGGGAGGTTTGGGCCTGCTGACCGCATGTTGTCATTAGGATCCTTTTGGCCTAGATCTCCGGGCTCAACTGCAGATTCTGGCCAGCACAGAGAGTCAGCTAAAAGTGCTACAGAGTCAGCATGCCCATTGTACCCAGGACCTGGCCACGAAGGACGAGTTGCTCTGCCGGCTCACCCAGAGCAGTGAGGAGCAGGCTGCTCAGTGAGTTCCTCTTGGGCTGTGGTGGCGGTAAGCACCCAGAACGGGACCAGTGGAATCTCACATAAGGTCTCTGGCAGATGGCAAAAGGAAGAAATGGCACTAAAACATGTGCAGGCAAAGCTGCAGCAGCAACAGGCGGTCCTGGCCAAGGAGGTGCAGGACCTGAAGGAGACCCTGGAGGTAAGGAAGGTGGCCTGGGGCAGGGGGGCTGGCAGGAATGTGACTCTTCCCTGATGGTACCGATGTGAGGTCTGAGACTGGACTGGAAGAAGCTTCTGATCCTAGGACTCTGTAAAGTGTCCCACTTGGATGCATTTCCTCGCCCCGCCCCCTTCACTCCTTGCCTTCCTTCTTTCTTCTGTCTTCCCAGTTTGCTGAACAGGAGAATCAGGTTGCTCACCTGGAGCTGGGCCAAGTTGAGTGTCAGTTGAAAACCACGCTGGAAGTGCTCCGGGAGCGCAGCATGCAGTGTGAGGGCCTCAAGGACACCGTGGAGAACCTGAAGTAAGATCTCTACCTCTCTGTGCTTCCCCCCAAGGACTTCTTTCTCAAGCCCACTTCTGGAAGTGGAAGTTTCCAAAAAGGGAATTATACCAGTGTCCGAGAGCCTCTTGTTTCTCCCTTTGAATGCAGTTCTGTGGGGGATGGTTTGGGGAGGTGTTCAAAGGTGACCTGGTGTTTGGCCATCTTCTCTGTTCCTTTCTTATTGTTGTTTAGTTGTTAAGTTGTGTCTGACTCTTTCTGACCCCATGGACGGTAGTCCGCCAGACTCCTCTGTCCATGGGATTTCCCAGGCAAGAATACTGGAGTGGGTTTGCCCCATCATTTTCCAGGGGATTTCCCGACCCAGGGATTGAACCTGCATCTCCTGCATTGCAGGAGGATTCTTTACTGCTGAGCTATGTGGGAAGCCCTTCCTTAATTCTAGCCTAAAATTCCTCATATCCTTCCTTATTTCAGGGTTAAACTAGCCAGCATTGTAGCAGAAACACAGCAGCAAGATCTGGAGAAGATGCACCAGTATTCCCAAGAGCTGGGGGTGCTCACGGAGCAACTCCATAGCCTGACCCTCTTCCTACAGACGAAACTAAAGGAGAAGGTAGCATATGGGGTCATATCTTCAAATAAAGACAGTTTTATTTCTTCCTTCCCTGTCTGTAAACCTATTATTCCCTTTCTTACTGCATTGGCTAGAACTTCCCCTATATTGCTGAAAAGGATTGGTGGTAGGGAACATCCTTGTCTTGTACCTGATCTTAGAGGGAAAACTTCGAGTTTCTTACCTTTCAATATGATGTTAACTGTAGGCTTTTTGTAGGTATTCTTTATCAAGTTGAGGAAGTTCCCCTCTAATCCTGGTTTACTGAGGGTTTTTCCAGTTGTATCTTTATTGTATAGAATGGTCTTCCTAAAATACTGTTCTTGTTCCATCTCTGTGACCTTCAGTGACTTTCAGTTGCCTACAGGATATCTTCAGCCTGTCGTCTGTCTCCTTCTTTCCTATTATGAACTCTTTACTCCCACTAGACTGCCTACACACTACACACACATCTCATTTCCATTCTTACCCAGATGCAGGCTGTTACCATGTTCGTTCTCCTCTATCGTCAAACTGGAAATGTCTTTTCCTTCCTATTAAAATCCTCCCTGTTTCACCTTCTTTGAAATGTTCCCAAACATCAGTGGACTCAGTGATCTCCTGCTATATTTTTCATGAGCTTACTCTCCTTTTGCACTTCTATTAATTTTCCTTGGATGTTTGGTCTCTTCAGCTAGACTGTGTTTAAAGCAAGCAGAAGTTTAGCATTGCTTCTTTGGCTTCCCCACAGTGCACACTGCAGAGTAACTGGTGGATATCTTTCAGACTGCAGAGTTAATTAGCTTATTCAACAGTTAAGGGCAGAGCCAGAATCCTGAAATCAAATTGCTTATGAGCTGACCCCATTCCCCAGCATGTGATAAGCACAGAAATCTAGTCTTAGATATAGAAGACAGACAGATATAAATTTGTCGTTTTGACTTGTGATTGTGATAGAAGGTTGTCTGAATGGCCACAGAGAAGGGAGCATCAGCTTTAGTTTTGAGAGTTAAGATGTCTTCTCAGAGCAGGTGACTCTTGGGCAGAGTCTTGAGGTTAGAAGTTTGTAGAGCAGGGGTGGGTATACAGGAAGGCCCACCAGGCAGAGGGAACAGCATATGAAAGTCATAGAGGCATTAGGGGTACTTTTTGTAGTGTCTGCCCTGTGACAAGACCTGGGTTAGGTGCTGGGACTAACCAGGTGAACAAGACCAAGGCTCTGCTCATATGGAATGTGGCAAGTTTGGGGCCTGGGAAGTAGCCCTTTATGAGTGGATTATAGAAGCTATGTGGGGCAGGGATGACAAGGGGAGGAGGCTGGAGAAGTAGGCAGGAGGCCAGGTTTTTGAAGGCTTGAACTAATGGCGATGATAGAATGGATATGGATCGGGATGGATTGAATGCATTCAATACCTATTTAGGAAATAAAGGTAATAGAGGGCTTCCCTGGTGGCTCAGCAGTGAAGAATCCGCCTGCAGTGCAGGAGACGTGGGCTAGATCCCTGGGTTGGGAAGATCCCCTGGAGAAGGAAATAGGCAACCCACTCCTGTATTCTTACCTGGGAAATCCCATGGACAGTGGAGCCTGGAGGGCTGCAGTCTATGGGGTCATAAAAGAGTCGGACATGACTTAGCAATTACATAACAACAGAAGGTAATAGAATATGGGGACCAGTTTGATATAGGAGTAAGGTGAAAGAGTGAATGATGATCTTTTTTGCTGGAAAGATGGCAACACTCTCTAGAACTGAGGTTGGCAGACTTTTCCCGTAATGTGCAATATGATAAATATTTTCGGTGTTGCGAGGTATGTGATCTCTGTCTCAACTACTCAGCTGTGCCTTTGTAGCTCAGGAGCAGCCATAGAAAGTATGTAAATAAATGGATGTGGCAGTGTTTCAATAAAACTTTATTTACAAAGACAGGTGGCAGGCCAGATTTAAACCACAGGCTGTAATTTGCTGTCCCCCTGCAATAGAATCTTAAATACAAGTGGAGGAACAGATTTTTGGTGGGGTGGGACAGGAAAAATGGCTAGCTCAGCTTTATACATAGTAAATTTCAGGTGAACCGTGGAGCAATCTGCTAGATTTTTCACAGGCAGTTAAGCCTTTGGATCAGGAGATTGGGAAAAAGTCCAATTGAGAGAGACAGATTGAAGGGTCAAAAATGTAGAAGTGGATGTTTCTGTGGAGCTCCTGAGGTGAAGCCATGTGGGGAATGGATTAGAATGTAAAGGGGATCAAGTATGAACCAAAAGGAGCCCACAGTTAAGGATAGACCTCCACACAGAGAGAAGAAATAGCCAGAAAGGTATGAATCCTACCTGTGAAGCAGAGTCATGTCACAAAAGCTAAGAAAATGAAACTTCTAATAGAACATGGTCATTGGTTATTACATAGGTCAGGTAAAATAAGATCTAAAAGGAGTCCACTGCATTTGAAAGTAAGGATGCCCTTGGAGCATAAAATAATGAGGATGCCATTGGTGTTCCAATAACAGTGGAATGGTGGGGCAGAATTCTCTGTGTAGTGGGCCAGGGATTCCATAGATAGTGAGAATTTTAGGCAAGAAATGTAGGCTTTTCTTTCTTTTTTTGAAATTGAAGGGAAAGAGAAAAGGCAGTAGCTAAAAGAGTACTTAAGGTAAAAAGAAGGCTTTTTAAAAAAAATTCTTGTTCTAGTGAGAGAGAATTAAGTTCAGGGAGAGGAACTAATGGAAAAGTTGAAGATTGAGAAGAGAGGTGATAGATAGAACAGCACTCCCATGGAGGTGGCTAGTGAGTACCTGTAAGTTCAGGGAACTCACTAATCCTGAAAAGCAGCTGAGTGTTTTCTCCTTTGCCCTCAGGCTGAACCAGAGACCCTCCCGATAAGCACAGCCAGTGCTCTTTCCCAGGAACACCCTCTGCCCAGTGACAGCACCTTCTTGGGAAGTGCCCAGACAGCAGAGGCAGATGAAGGTTCAAGGCCCTGGAATTGAAGGGTGGGGAAGTTGGGACCCTACTCCTGGTGTCTTCAGCTGTTGAGGATGCTGCCAACAGACCCTGTCTCTCCCTGGTTTCTGTGGTGGCAGGTCCTTGACGGGGTCACCAGAGGGCCCTCTGCCATGGCTGGTTTTGTTTCAGACCCAGAATCCACTCCTGTGCCCTTGCTTGGAAGTGACAAGAGTGCTTTCACCAGAGTAGCATCAACAGTTTCCCTTCAGCCTACAGGTTAGGATGGGCTCCAGGGATCCTGCCTCATTTCTAGATCTGGTTGTGATGATAAAGACTAGAGCAGTGAGAAGTGCTTTGCTCTAAAAACCTCAATTCTATTTGGGCTTCTTTCAGTTCTGCCTTTGGGGGATCGGTAATGTTCTGGATATTCAAATCCTATGGGTGGGGAACATGGATAAGAGTGGAAGAAGTGATGGCTCCGTACTTCCTTCCAGAGCTAAAGGGCTTTGCCTCTTATCTAGTACTTTCTCTTTCAGAAACCCCAGACATCGAGAAGAGCCTGACAGAAATGGGTACTAAGACTCTGGAACTTCAGAGCCTGTGTTCCCTGCTGCAGGAGTCTAAAGAAGAGGCTGTCAGGACTCTGCAGCGAAAGATGTAAGTGGATTGCAGTCTTAGTGAAAGAGGGCAGGTCATGTGAGCAGCCCCTGGTGGGGGCAGGAATAATTCTGAATTCTTCCCTCCCTTAGATGTGATCTGCAGGCTCAGCTGCAGGCCCAGGAAGAACAGCATCAGGAAGCCCAGAAGGCAAAGGAAGTGGACATAGAGAAGCTGAACCAGACTTTGTGCTTGCGCTACAAGGTGGAGGAGGGGCCTGGAACTGAAGCCATGAAGAACTGGGGCAGCTGTGTGGGCCCACTGGGAGCTGCTGTCTCTCCAGGAATCTGGGTGGTGGGGATTTTCCAACCAATTGCCCTAGTTTTGCCCTTCCTGGGGTCAGACAATTCACATATTTGGGAACCAGCTATAGGCTGACCCATCTTCCAGGCTGACCTAGAAGTCAGGAACCCCAGCAGAGCGCTCTCTACAGGGAAATGTGCCTGGCCTGACCTAGCCCTAGAGGAAGAACTAGTGTTGGTAATTGGTATCACCTGGACTGAGCATGAGTCGGGCGTGAAATCTTAATCTCTTGGCAAGGGCTGCAAAGAAGCCAGCTCTCCCGCTGGCTTCTCACCTCCTTTTCTCTCACAGAATGAGAAGGAACTCCAAGAAGTGATACGGCAGCAGAACGAGAAGATCCTGGAGCAGATAGACAAGAGCGGCGAGCTCATAGTACGTTCGTCATCATGCCTGGCCTCTGCCTTCTGTGTCACTATAGCCAGGGTCCCAGATGTGGGAATTGGGCCCCCTGGTCTACCCTTGCTCACCACATGGGATAAAGATGGAGAGGACCTTTGAGTGCTACTAGATACCTCTCCATTCTCATCCCCAGAGGCTTAGAGAGGAGGTGACCCAGCTAACCCGCTCCCTTCGGCGTGCAGAGACAGAGACTAAGGTGCTCCAAGAGACCCTGGCAGGCCAGCAGAACCCTGACTGTCAGCCCATGGACACGAACTGGATCCAGGAGAAAGTGTGGCTCTCCCAGGAGGTGACTCAGAGTTAACCAAAGAGCTGGGCAACTGGTGGGAACCTTAGGCTATGCCCCTACTCATCTGAACATATCTATAGGTGGACAAACTGAGGGTGATGTTCCTGGAGATGAAAAATGAGAAGGCAAAACTCATGGTCAAGTTCCAGAGCCACGTAAGGATTTCCATGCCATTCCAGGGCTGTTTCCCATCTCCCCTAGCAAGTTCCCTGCCATGTTTACCTTTCCCCACAAGCTATGTCATTCTTTTAAGGATAGAACTTATGCAGCCTATTTGCTTTTTAGAGAAACATCCTGGAAGAGAATCTTCGGCGCTCTGACGAGGAGTTAAAGAAATTAGATGACACTGTTCAGCATATTTATGAGGTAAAGGAGGGAGGGTGTTGATGCAATTTAGGTACTTGGCATAAGGAAGGTCTGGCTGGGGGTACTGATGAGCATAGTTCTGGTTCCCAGCGTATGCTGAGAGCTGGGCCCTGATTCATTGTTGTGGGCTTCTCTGTGGCTTCCATTTTCTCCCCTCTAAGAGGGTGCTTCTTAGGCCTGGTGCTTCCTGGCCTGTGACCCTGAGCTGCCTTTTCTGAATCTCTTCCCAGACTCTGCTGTCCATCCCAGATGTCGTGAAGGGTTGCAAGGAGCTACAGGGATTGCTGCAATTTCTGAGCTAAGAAACTGAAAGCTGGAGTCTGTTTCACCCCTTTTTTACCTACAACACTCCCTTATCCCAGTATCAGGACCAATTGGCTTAGAGCCAGCTCTGTTTATAAAATAAAGTATATTTAATGTATTTCTTCAGGCTCACTGAATCTTATTTCTTGGGTGGGAGGTGGGTGGATGAGCTCAGGCGGAGGCAGCTTGGTCCTTTTGCCTGGGCTCCCTACCTCCACACACCCCTCCCACCGCATCCAGAGCCACAGCCAGCTCCTGACTCCTTTTCTTGCTTCCCCAAATACTCTGGGCACTGGACTACTTGTTCCCTGGCTCACTGCCTGGTGAGAAACAGACAAGGCTTCATTCTCTCACCTTCTCCACCCGCCTCTGGGGTAGCCCTGGTGAATAAGGGGGTGAGGACAGAGAGCCCTCTGCCCTGGACTCGCACACTGTTGCTGCCTGTGTTCCACCTACCCTATCTATGGTAATTGTTTACGGTGACTCTCCTTCACCAGACCAGGACTCATCCCCAACAGCCAGCACAGTTCTCTGCACAAAGGCGACTGTGGCAGGAATCAGAACAAGGCCATTTCCTGCCAAGGTGGCCTTTCCCCTGGTGTCTGGGCTCCACGAGGTGGGAGGACAGGCTACAACTACCTCCGAGATCCCGGCGGAGTCAGTCACTCCACCTCATCGCCCCGCCTCTGTGGGCGTGGTCACACCGCGCACTCCAGTCCTGGGAGGGGGCGTGGCCAGGGCGGGGAGGGGGGCCGGCCCCGCCCTCCGGGGGGTGTCACGTAGCTCTGCGGCAGCCGCAGCCTCATTTACAGAAGCCGGGGCTGGAGCCGCAGCTGTCGCGGATCTGAACGCGAGCTGTTCCTGTGCCTGCGCAGCTACCTCGCTGCGCACAGGTGAGCCCCGGGAGTTGCTCAGCACTCCGCTTCCTCTCCCTGACTCTTCCCTCTGCCATCCTTGCCCTGCTCCTGCGGGGCCCTGGATGTGCCTTCTCAACTCTCTCCTTTCTGTCCACTCCACGGCTCAGCTTCTCCCACAGCACCTCTTCCTTTTAGCTCTGATGCAGCTTTTCCGATTCCAAATCTTCCTCTACCGGCTAGACTTTTACACCCAAACCGTTTTTAACCTCAGCCTTCTTCCTCTCCTAGGCTGTTTCCTCTCCAGTTCTCCTGCCTTCACGGTCCCCCTGAGCCAGGTCCTTCTCCCTGACCTAGTTAGCCTGTCTCACCATTGTCTCCCCATAGGTCTCTTCCCTCCATATCCTGTATCTCTTCCTCCCTTTCAATCCTGAGCCTCTGCTCCCATTCTCCCAAGGAATGGAGAAGAGGTTATGGAAGCCTGTGGCCGTTCTTTTTGTTTTGTTTTTTTGCACCACTGCTACTCCCTACCCCCACCCTTTTCCTCCAGAAGCTGAGGGAAGAGGGATGATGGGTACTTTTGCCTCATTCTGAAGCCTCGGAAGTAAGTGCACCTTCCCTCAAGGCTCTGCTGAGTGACGATGAGAAAAGGGAAATTGGAATGGCCAGGGCTTTTGCCTACCTGAAGAAGGGACTCAATTCAGTGAAAGAAAGATTGGCATCTTTATTGAGGCAGTAGTTTCATAAGAAGACCTGTAGCTTTGGTGCTGTTCACCTCCCTACCCCCACCCTGGGGCTGGGAAAGGTGCCCGTCAGGGACAAAAGGAGATGTGGGAACTGGGGCCCCGAGCCTGTTAGCTGCTCGAGAGACTGGTGCCATGTTGATGTCCAGGATCTGCGCCAAGGACTGCCGCTCTGTTCCCAACCCCTGCTTGTTGGGGTGGAAGGAAGAGGCCATTTGGCCCACATGGACAGGAGAGGAAGCAGAGGATGTAGGGTGGGTGGGGTCCAGCATTTATACCTTGTCTCCATTCCACAGAACTGTCACCATGCCCCACTCGTATCCAGCCCTTTCTGCTGAGCAGAAAAAGGAGTTGTCCGACATTGCCCTGCGGATTGTAGCCCCAGGCAAAGGCATTCTGGCCGCAGATGAGTCTGTAGGTAGGTGGGGCCCTGCGGTCAGGTGGGGAAGAGGTGGCCAAGGAGCTTGGGGATGACCTTGCTACCCTACTTCGTTTGCCCCTCCCCAGGCAGCATGGCCAAGCGACTGAGCCAAATCGGGGTAGAGAACACCGAGGAGAACCGCCGGTTGTACCGCCAGGTCCTGTTCAGTGCTGATGACCGTGTAAAGAAGTGCATCGGCGGTGTCATCTTCTTCCATGAGACACTCTACCAGAAAGATGATAATGGTGTCCCCTTCGTCCGCACCATCCAGGATAAGGGGATTGTCGTGGGCATCAAGGTGCAGCCACTGGCCCTAAATGGGGGCTGAGCGTGGAAATAGGTGTGTGTGTGGGGAGGGTGGCAAACAGGGTCCTGCCCGGGTTCAGTTCTGTGCCTGTGTTTCCCCTTCAGGTTGACAAGGGTGTAGTGCCTCTAGCCGGAACTGATGGAGAAACCACCACTCAAGGTACAGGAGGGGTGGGCTTCAGGACTGCAGAGTTGTTGGGTGGCTGCTGCCAGCAACGAGGGACAGAATAATGAAGTTGGCACTCTGCCTACAGGGCTGGATGGGCTCTCAGAGCGCTGTGCCCAGTACAAGAAGGATGGCGCTGACTTTGCCAAGTGGCGCTGCGTGCTGAAAATCAGTGAGCGCACACCCTCAGCACTTGCGATTCTGGAGAATGCCAATGTGCTGGCCCGCTATGCCAGTATCTGCCAGCAGGTGTGCCTATGTGTGTGGGAGGTGGTCAGATGGGTGTTCTGTGCCTAGTGGCGAGAGGGTTACATGGCTTTCTTCCATCCTACCTCCTGCCCCTCCTAAGCTACTCTGCTCTTACCTGCAGAATGGGATTGTGCCTATTGTGGAACCTGAGATTCTGCCTGACGGAGACCATGACCTCAAACGTTGCCAGTACGTTACAGAGAAGGTGAGTCCGCACCTGGGCACAGACATACACCACAAGGAGAACCTGACAGGGAGCCTGTGCTCCACAATCCCTGGCTCAGATGCAGACACTTTCCTCAAGCACATTTTTACTTGATCCCAGAACGTACCTGTGAGTCTGGCCTGTATCCACTCTCACAGTCATACCCACTCACCCCTAGCCAGGGAACATAATGGCAGGGGTCCAGAACCTTAGTCAACCTCCTCTGATCCCCAGGTCCTGGCTGCTGTGTACAAGGCCCTGAGTGACCATCACGTGTACCTGGAAGGCACCCTACTCAAGCCAAATATGGTGACCCCTGGCCATGCCTGCCCCATTAAGTATAGCCCAGAGGAGATCGCCATGGCAACTGTCACTGCCCTGCGTCGCACTGTGCCCCCGGCTGTCCCAGGTACCACTGATTCCAAAGCTGTTCTTATCCCTAAGACCCATTCTTAGGTTCTTGTGGCTTCAGAAGTTCCTTACCCTGGAAAATAAGGAGTGGTCAATCGGTTTGTCTCCTCTTCTCTGTCCTAGGAGTGACCTTCCTGTCTGGGGGTCAGAGTGAAGAAGAGGCATCTCTCAACCTCAATGCTATCAACCGATGCCCCCTTCCCCGGCCGTGGGCCCTTACCTTCTCCTATGGGCGTGCCCTGCAAGCCTCTGCACTCAATGCCTGGCGAGGGCAACAGGACAATGCTGGGGCCGCCACTGAGGAATTCATCAAGCGGGCCGAGGTTGGGAGCTAAAGGTGGTGGGTGGGGAGGTGGGGTGTAGCTAGGCAGGCGGCAGCCCAGAGGCTCTAGCCTGGACAGGGTCAGGAACCTGTGGACTGGGTCGGCCTACTTAACTCCCCTCCTTTTGCAGGTGAATGGGCTTGCAGCCCAAGGCAAGTATGAAGGCAGCGGAGAAGATGGTGGAGCGGCAGCGCAGTCCCTCTACATTGCCAACCACGCCTACTGAGTACCCCTCCACACCACAGCCCTTGGCCCGACCACCTGCACCCAATTTTGCCTGTAGTTATGGCCAGGGCCAAGTAGCCATGCAGAGCAGAGATGCCTCCATCCAGCACTGAGTCATCTTCCTTTGATCTCCTCCCCTCCCCTCTCAGATTGCTGCACCTGGGACCATTGGATGGGAGGATAGGGAGCCCTCATGACTGAGAGCAGGAGAACTTGCTAGAAGTCAGAGCAGGATGCCTGGGTCTCCCCACAGCCTCTGCCACCCCCCAAAATTTTCCCATGATGGGGTTGCTTCTCCTTGGGCTCTCCTTGCCCGCCCTCTCTCCTGGGGTCAGAGGGTAGGGCAACAGAGCTGACTCATGCTTTGTGTGCATACCACATAGCAAATAAATGGTAGCAAAACATGCTACTTTGTCTGCATTTTTTACATATCTAATTTCACCTCCCAGTTTCTGATCTCTGTAATGTCTCTGAGCCATCTTGGACTGTGGAGGTGGAAAGGGTGGATTGTGTTTTCCTGGGCATTAAGTTTAGGGGGAGGGGGGCACATCCAGTCACTATACTCAGCTCAGGCTCTTGTTGATGTCTGAGGTTGGAGCGAGGAGTTATGGAGGGCTGTGAGTCTTTCATGAACTGCCACTTCAGAAGCACTGGACTGCAGCTGCAGAAGGATGGAGTGAGGCTGTGCTGGGCTTAGTCACTCAGTCATGTCCAACTCTTGGCAACCCCCATGGAATGTACCCTGCCAGGCTCCTCTGTTGTCCGTGGGGGTTCTCCAGGCGAGAATACTGGAGTGGGTTTGCCATGCCTCCTACAGGGCATCTTCCTAATCCAGGGATTGAACCCAGGTCTCACGCATTGTGGGTGGATTCTTTACCATCTGAGCCACTAGGGAAGCCCAGAGTGAGGCTAGACCCAAGCAACTTCTGACGGCAGCTTTTGTGCATGGCCCCAAACTTGGCAGAGAGGCAATGGGAGTCTGTCACCTCTCAGCTGTGTTGACATATTCCACCAGGGGGAGCCACTACAGGAGCAGCACCTGCGTTCTTGCCCAACAGGAAAATCCCCAACCTAAGCACTGCCAGACCCAGCACTTTATCTAAGAGGTTGCCAAGAGCTGTTGCTCATTCCTATCTGAGATAGATAGGGGCACAGAGGGAGCCAGTTTAAGAGTCTGGGCAAGAGTGACCTGGTGAGGTCTCATGCTGAACTTTGACCTCTTGGCCTAGGCATTGGGAATAGGTTGAGACTCTGGGTCTATCTGAGCAGATGAAAAGATGAGAGAACCTGCTGGGTGTGTTCTGTGTGAACTGCGGAGGCCATGCTCTACGTAACGTGCACAGCCAATGCTTCTCCCAACTAATTACTGCAATATGGGAATGTAGGCTCAGTGTGGCCTGATTTTATATATATAAAAATAGCTAACACTTATATAGCAATCTCCTGACAGGCCTACCGTTATTAACTCACGTACTACAACAATTCTATATAAAGTAGATACCATTGCAATTCCTATTTATTTTAAAAAACAATTTTATTCCTTTTTGAGCTTCATGCATACAGGATCTTAGTTCCCTGACCAGGGACTGAATCCATTCCCCTGCAAAGTCTTAACCACTGGACCACCAGGGAATTCCCTGCTATTCCTATTTTAATATGAGGAAACAGGATTGCTTCTCAAGATCGTTCGGGTGAAGTGGGGAAGCTGGGATTTGAACCGCATTTGAACAAGAAAGATCCAGAGTCTGTGCTCATGAATTTGTAAGAATTTTAGTGAAGTATTCAGACTTTAACAAGTTAGGAACGAATCCAAATGAATTTTAAAACTATTAAATGAGCTAAATATGCTAAAACAGGTACTACTAGCTTGCTCGTCAGGAAGAGGAGCTCTTTATAATAGGGATGATAAACAATGACCGTGACAGGTGACTTTCCGTGTGCTCTTTATGAATGACCTCATTTTAGTCAGTATCTCCATTTTTCAGATGAGAAAATTGAGGCTTAGAGCTTCCCGTGGTAGCCCAGCTAGTATTTAACGACTGCAGAGTTTGTGCTGTTAATCCCTGGGGATAGGAGTAGGTTCCACATGGAATCGGAGGGTGTCTTCCAGCAAAACCGAAAACCGCAGTTTCTCAACCACCCGTTGACGCCGGGGCAGCCACCTTTCAAATTCCAGGAGAGGCTCTTTGTGGACCCCTCCTATCCCTCGCTGGAGAAGCAAATGGCAACCCACTCCAGTATTCTTGCTTGGAGAATCCTATGGACAGAGAAGGCTGGCGGGCTACAGTCCATGGGGTCGCAAGAGTCCGACACGACTGAACCCCATCACCACCTTCCCGTCCCAGGTTTCCTCCCGCCGAAGTGCCGCTCGTGATTGGTCGCGACCGCGGCGGTGGGCGCGCCCCCTCCGTGCGGGTTTCCGATTGGGGGAGGCCTGCGCGGCCCCGCCCCTCAGCGCAGGAGCGATCGGACGCAAGTATGGCGGCCGCTGGGCCAGCCGCTACTGACCTAGGTTCGGTGGCATTCGGGTCTGGGCTGCGGCTCGCGGAGTGCGAGGGAGGAATGCAGGGATGGGGACTGTGGTGTGTCAGAGGTCTCGCGGACTGGGGGTCTGGGTTCGTCTCAGACAGGATTGTTTCAGACTCGGGCCCGGGCCCCAAGCCCGGGAATCCCTCGGAAGGCGGGCCGAGAGCCTCTGAGGATGGGTTGCCGGGGCTCCTCCGCCTCGGGGGTGGGGCAGGCACCCGAGCCCACCGCTGGCGCCTCAGTGGATCCCTCCGTGCCCCGCAGAGGTGGTCCGAGGCAAGCGCGCCGCCCTCTTCTTCGCCACGGTGGTCATCGTGCTAGGGTTGCCGCTCTGGTGGAAGACCACGGAGACCTACCGGGCCCCGTTGCCTTACTCCGAGATCAGTGGGCTGAATTCCCTGAAGGTAAGACCTCAGGGGTGGAGGACCACGGGACAGCCCGGGAGGATGGAGACTCAGCTGATGGCCCTGATGCTTCTTCCCGCAGCTGCGGCTAATGGTGCCTGTCACTGTAGTGTTTACCCAGGAGTCAGTGCCATTGGATGACCAGGAAAAGCTGCCTTTCACTGTTGTGCATGAGAGAGAGATCCCTCTGAAATGTGAGTTCCTGGGGGAACAGGGCTGCCTTTCTGGTCTGAGCTCAGTCCACAGATAGATTGGCTAAGAGGAGCATGTGTGTGTGTGTCTGACTCTTTGCGACCCTATGGACTGAAGCCTGCCAAGCTCCTCTGTCTATGGGATTTCCCAGGCAGGAATACTGGAGTGGGTTGCCATTTTCTCCTCCAGGGGATCTTCCCTACCCAGGGATTGAACCCGCGTCCCTTGCATCTCCTGCATTGGCAGGCAGATTCTTTACCACTGTGCCACCTGGGAAGCCCAGGAGGAGCATGGGTACCCTGAAAAAGTGGTTAAAAGCCCTCTCTAAATGAACACTGTGTTTGCTGAGAAAAAAAAAAGTTTTAAATTCAGTATTCACCATTAACATGGCAGTTTTTTTTTTCATAAAACAGTTGTGCCACCTGATCAGCAGCAGGTGATGCTCATTAGGGGAGAGAGGAGGATATGGGATGTAGTGGAATGAACACAGGATTTGGAATCAATTTGAACTTGTATACAGGCCTTATTCACTTTAACATTAACACTTTACTGAGTGTGAGGCACTTTTCCTGTGTGCTTAGTCACTCAGTCATGTTCGAACTCTTTGCGACCCTGTGCACTGTAGCCCCGCCAGGCTCCCCTGTTCATGGGGATTCTCCAGGCAAGAATACTGGAGTGGATTGCCATGCCCTCTTCCAGGGAATCTTCCCAACCAAGAGATCAAACAAAGGTCTCCAGCATTGCAGGCAAATTCTATACCGTCTGAATCACTAGGGAAGCACTTTTCCTAGGTATCAGGAATTTAGAGATGAATAAGAAATTGATAATGGTTTCAAGAAATCCATAGGTAGGGGAGAGAGACAGAGAAAGAAATCAACGTAGAAGTATATAAGTATATAAAAAACAGAGACTGTACTTAAGAAAGAGACTATAACTGGGAGGAAAAAAGGTAGAGAAGGTTTTGAGGGCTGTAATTTTTTTTTTTAAAGAGACAGCATTTATTGTTTTTTAAACAACCTCCACATTCTTATTTTTGGCTGTGCTGGGTCTTGATTGCAGTGTGCAGGCTTCTCATTGCGGTGGTTTCCCTTGTTGCAGAGCACAGGCTTATTAGTTGTGGCACACAGGCTCAGCTGTTCAGTGACATGTGGAATCTTCCGACCAGGGATTGAACCTGTGTTCCTTGCTTTGGCAGGTGGACTCTTATCCATTGTGCCACTAGGGAAGTCCCGAGGGTTGTAATTTTTAAGACAGATTTTTAAAGGAAGTGTAGGAATTCAGGTTAAATGAGGAGGTGAAGAAGGGATAACACTAGTTAGTAATAATGAAAACTAATATTAGTTGTTCATTATATGCCAGAAACTAGGTGAAACACTTTATTTACCTGTGTTGCCTCAATTAATCCTAACATTATGACCTCCATTTTGTTAAGTTCCTCTTTTTTCTTTTGTTATATATCAGCTTTTCCTACCCCATACCCCCTACCCCAAAATATATTTCTTTTCATTGATTTGTTGGAGAAACCAGGTCCTTTGTTAGGACATCTCACATTCTAGATTTGGCAGATTTTTTTCCTCCTGGTTTCATTTAACGTATTCCTTTATTATCCTTATTTCCTATAAACTGATAGTTAGATCCAGTGGTCTGTTTAAAATCAGGTTCAGGTTTTTTTTTTTTTTAACTAAAAATACTTTTTTCTTTTGGTTGAATTGTGTGGCATGCAGGATCTTAGTTCCCTGACCAGGGATCAAACCCAGGCCCCCTGTATTGGGAGTGTGGAAGCTCAGCCACTGGACCACCAGGGAAGTCCTGACGTGTCCGTTCTCTATGTCTGAGTCTCTATTCCAGTATCTTCTTTTTATTAAGAATGTGTACTGAGTTTAATTCTTTTGAGGCATTTATTGAAATAATCATATGGTTTTCCTCCTTATACCTTTTCATTGTAATGAATATTATAGTAGATTTCCCTGTGGGGAGGGTACTTCAGGTTGAAGGTACACAGGGAGAGGCAAGAGCTGGGCAGGTGGACAAGGTGGAGTGCCGTGTATTTATATCATCCATGGTTTTTCAGGTGGTGCTAGTGGTAAAGAACCTGCCTGCCAATGCAGGAAATGCAAGAGATGTGAGTTTGATCCCTACATCAGGAAGATCCTCTGGAGGAGGGCATGGCAACCCACTCCAGTATTCTTGCCTAGAAAATCCCATGGACAGAGGGGCCCAGTGGGCTACAGTCCATGGGGTCAAAAAGAGTCAGACATGACTGAGCACGAACACACAGTCTGTATAAATCATTAAAACTGGCTGTAGCTTCTTGGTCTTTCTCTGCACGTCATCATCTTGCTCGGACAGTGTTAGGGCTGGAAAGGTGGGCTCTTCTCATTATGCCTCTTTCTTTTCTCTCAGATAAACTGAAAATCAAATGCCGTTTCCAGAAGGCCTATCGGAGGGCTTTGGATCATGAGGAGGCAGCCCTGTCACTGGGCAATATACAAGGTACCAGTAGGGGTGATCATTTTTAACAGAAAGCCCTCTTTTTCCTTCTGATCTCTAAGTGTGTAGTTTCCATACTTTGTCTTTGCATCATGCAGCTTGTGGCTATCTCACTTCCCCAACCAGGGATTGAACCTGGACTATGGCAATGGGAAAGCCCAGAATCCTGACCACTAGGCCACCAGGGAATTCCCTCCATCCCTTGTCTTAACTCCAGAACCTCTCTGGGAAAGCTGGGAGTGAGAGACCTTGTGTCTCAGCGTGGGCCACCGAGGGCCAAACCTGGCCACCGTGTCAGCTGGGTGTGAGTGGGAGGTGGAGTGATGGACTAGGCATCCTGGGGGAGCCAGAGGGAAGAGGGAATGGTGTTTTCTGCTCCTGGTAAACCACCTGCTCTCGTCCCCAGAGGCAGAAACCATGTTAGCTGAGCCATCGGAGCAAGCAGAGGGCTCCCTGACAGTGTACGTGATCTCTGAACGCTCCTCGCTTCTCCCTCAGGTAGGGTGAGCAGACAGGCTGCGGCCTTGCCGTCTCCCTACAGCTCGTCCTCACCTAAGTCTCCTGGTTGCGGGACTGCCCATTCCTTCCTTTTGCTGCAGAAAACTCCGCAAGTATTTTTTAAAAAGAATACAAATAGGGATTGTTTTCATGGACTCTGGGTCTTTCTAAATCCAAGGCTTGGAGATGGTTAAAGTTTCAATTTAAAGTGGAAAAAAAAAGTCAGTAGGATTAAAAAGGCTGCTTTGAATGTGATGATAATATGAGCCACACATTGATCTTTTCACTTATGAGCAAAAGGCTCAGTTGGAAGCTGTACCAGGTACATTTTATTTTATTTACTTATTTAAGTATTGTTTATTTGACTGTGCCAGGTCTTAGTTGCTTCACGTGAGATCTTTGATCTTTGTTGTAGCATACAGGGTCTTTAGTTGTATGTGGCATGTGAACTTAGTTGCGGCATGTGGGATCTAGTTCCCTGACTAGGGATCGAACCCAGGCCCTCTGCATTGGGAGCATAGAGTCTTAGCCACTGGACCATCAGGGAAATCCTTATTGTTAAATTTATAATGAAATGTTAATTATTACAAAAAGATGAAAGAAAATTTTAATGAAGATGCATTTCCCACCCCCAGTTTGCAAACTACAGTACAACCCTGTGTATCTCCATGGTTATATCCCATTCCCTTTCAGCCCAAGGCGACCATAGTTTGTGTGTATCGTTCTCTTACTTTTCTTTCAAGTTTTACCACATGTTATGTCTCTATAAGCACTATGTTTAATTTTACCTGTTTTTGAACTTTATGTAAATAGCATAATAGAGTGCATGTTCTTCTCCAGCTTTCACTTTGCTTGACCTTTATGTTTGAGTCATTCATGATGTCTAGTTGAATCTAATGCGTTCATTTAAAATTCTGCCTTATGTTTCATTGTATAAACATATCACAGTTTATCCATTCTGTCACTAACAGGCATTTGGATTGTCTCCAGTTTTATCCTATTACAAATAATGCTGCCATGAAAATTCTTGTACTTGCCTCTTTGCCATGTGCTGTCTGCTTATATCAAACTTGCCAGTGGTTTGTTTCTCCTTACATGGCTCAGTGTGCCCTCTCTTAGTTTCTAGCCCACAGAGATACAGTTGTTGCCTGGACGTGTGTCGACTGGGAAGGAGAAGAGAACTGAAATGAATGAAAACACTCATATATCCCCCTAGCTCAGCAACGCTGAGATAATTAGTTCACTGTGAATCCAGAGAGAGGTGCAAGCCTGCTGGTTGGTGGCAAAAGACCACATTCTCAAAGACAGGAGCCAGAGTGCTCCTCTGCTTTCTTCCCTGAGCTGTGTCGGCCTCCTGTCCCTTGCTTGCCCCTCATAGGACATGATGAGCTACATTGGGCCCAAGAGGATGGCAGTTGTGCGGGGGATAATGCACCGGGAGGCCTTTAACATCATCGGCCGCCGCATCATCCAGGTAGCCCAGGCCATGTCTTTGACTGAGGACGTTCTTGCTGCAGCCCTGGCAGACCACCTTCCCGAGGACAAGTGGAGCTCTGATAAGAGGCGGCCTCTCAAGTCCAGCTTGGGTAGGATGACCCGGCTTTTGCCAGGGGAAGGGAGAGGGAAATGAATTATGCCGAGACTCTGGGGTGGGAGGGGAATTTGCATGCAGATGCTTCACTCCTTTCTTTGATTTCACAAAAGTATTTTTAATTGAAGGATAATTGCTTTACAGTATTGTGTTGGTTTCTGCCATACATCAACATCAATCAGCCATAGGCTTTAGTTTCATTTTTCTTTAAAAAAGATTTTTGTCTATTTATTTGGCTGTGTGAAATCTTAGTTGCAGCATGGGGGATCTAGTTCCCTGACCAAGGACTGAACCCAGGCCCCCTGCGTTGGGAGCGCAGAGTCTTAGCCACTGGACCACCAGAGAAGTCTCTCATCTTTTTCTTAAAGTACTCAGTGTTCTCATTCCAGTTTTATCCTCCCTTTGGTTCCATGATGGCAATCAGGCCCCTTCAGAGGAGAAGAAGGGGCAGCTCAGCCAGGGGAACCCCTGGCTTCCCTGACTCCTGTTTCTATAGGCTATGAAATCACCTTCAGTTTACTCAACCCTGACCCCAAGTCACATGACGTCCACTGGGACATCGAGGGGGCCGTCCAGCGCCACGTGCAGCCCTTCCTGAGTGCCCTCAGTGCGGCAGGCAACTTCTCCGTGGACTCGCAGGTGCGACTAGGAGAGAGCTGAAGACCCCTTTTCCTGGGTGCACCGTCCTTTGCCATCCTACCCCATCCTTTGCCATCCTACACTGTCCTTTGCCATCCTACCCCATCCTTTGCCATCCTACACTGTCCTTTGCCATCCTACCCCATCCTTTGCCATCCTACACTGTCCTTTGCCATCCTACCCCATCCTTTGCCATCCTACACCATCCTTTTCTACCAGACATATTTAGCCTTTACAAGTGTAGTCTGCTCTTCCGGCTCTTTGAGCTTGCTGGTTGGTTAGGAAATTCCTGTGTATGTATGTGGTTCTGGGGTCTACTTTCCCTCCTTGATGTCCAGCTTGGGGAATTTTGTCAGTGCTTGTTAAAAAACTTAACGTCCTTATGGCTCCTTCTGGAACTGTATTCAACAGTTTTACTATCCGAAAATCTTATGTAAAAACAAACAGGCAGTTTGGGATTGACGTGTACACACTGCTGTATTTAAAATGGATAACCCAACAGGGACCTAGTGTATAGCACACTCTGCTCAGTGTTATGTGGCAGCCTAGATGGGAGGGGAGTTTGGGAGAGGATGGATACATGTATATGTATGGCTGAGTCCCTTTGCTGTCCACCTGAAACTACCTCAACATTGTTAATTGACTATACTTCAATATAAAATTTAAAAAAAAAAAAAAAAACTTCCTGAAATATGTTAACATAGTAACAATAAAGATGTGAAGAATGTAGTTTTCTGAATCACACAGTGTCCTTTTTAGGGAAAATGTGGGAGACATTTTTATCAGGTCTTGGTAGTGGGAGTAATTACTTCTGAATAGCTGACTTGATTTGATCTGTGGACACTGAATTATGCTCTTTTTTGTTTAGGCTTTTGGAGAGCCTGGTAAAATAATGTGTTCAAAGCATGGATTTAGTGTGTTAACTTTATCCTTAGCTTTATTTTTTTTCCCTAGTCCTGTTTTCTCTCAGCCTTGATTTTTTTTTAATTATTTTTTTTTAATTGAAGGACAATTGCTTTACAGAATTGTATTGGTTTCTGCCAAACAGCAACATGAATCAACCATAGGTATACATAAGCCTTGATTTTTGTCTCTCATATTTTCTCTGCCTAATTGTTACCTTTTTGAGGACACACTGGACTATCAATCAACAGACAAAATAACATGTTTTTCCTCTTTGTTCTGCAGATCCTTTACTATGCAGTGTTGGGGGTAAACCCCCGCTTTGACTCAGCTTCTTCCAGCTACTACTTGGCTGCACACAGCCTCCCCCATGTCATCAACCCCGTGGAGTCCCGGCTGGGTGAGCTCCTGAGGTTGAGGGTCTCTCTGCCAGGCCGGGGAAGGACCCGGTAGGCTCAGCCTGGGGTGGGAGGTGGGTTGTATATAGTGACTGCTCCCAGGTTGGGTTGGTCTGAGAGTGTCGAGGAGGTGCTGGGCTTTTAGGCTTCTTTCCCATGATAGTCTACTGACGTTTCCACTTCCATACTGTCATAGCCAAAAGCGCTTATTAAGCATTCCCAGCACTTTTTATAAACACATGGATCATCCCTGCAAACCATCCAGGGAAGATACAGCCACACTTTCTTGTAAGAAGGACAATAGTAGCAGCACATGAAGGTGGAATTTGAGTTGATAGTTTTGCTGATTGAGGAAACTTGAAGCTGGGATTCCAGATTTTCATTTTGGGGCTGGATCCTAGGAAGAGGAGGCGTGACCAAGAACTGTAATAGAGGCAAACCAAGGGGAGTAAATCACTAGCTTTGGAATTTCAGGGTTAGGCTGGCATGTATCAAGGGCTATGGGAGGGGCAACATGAGAGGCCTTGGTGAATCCTTTCTCCCTTCCTTCCTCCCTTCAAAGTCTGAGGGACTGCTTAACGGCATGCCTGTCTACAGAGAGAGAGATTTCAGGCTAGGCCACTATGAGCTTAGAGGCAAAAGAGTTAAGAGTGCATAGACATTCTGGAAGCTCAGAAAAGTTTACTGTGGATGAATTTTGAGAGAGTGACCAAGTTGAGGCTGGCCAGGCAGGCAGGCACTAGATCACCACTTTAAGGTGTCTGAACTTTAATCTGGTAAGAGTGGCTGGCTGCAGAAGGATATGAAGCAGGGACTGACCTGAGGTCAGATTTATCCTTGTGCCTAAGAACGGGTTATAGTAATATGGGTGCAATATGGTAGTGGGGCAGAGAGCTGTCTTAGACAGTCGAAGGTGGCAGGGTGTGGTGTGGGGGTCTGTTGGAGGAGGGGCAATTCAGGGTCAGGAATGCACTTTCAGGGACGTGGCACATGTTGGGAGAATGTTGAGGTTCTTTACCACAGACACCCAGGCCCGGAGGATATCTTAGTGATTATCAGCTGGGGAAACAGGTGCAGAGTGAGTGCCCAGCAGTCAGCGGCTGATCTGGAACTCAGATCTGGATCCAACCTGCTGTGTTGACTCCCCTTCTCTTTGTGCTCCAGGATCCAGCGCCGCCTCCCTTTACCCCGTGCTCAACTTTCTCCTCTACGTTCCGGAGCTTGCCCACTCCCCCCTGTACATTCAGGACAAGGACGGGGCTCCAGTGGCCACCAACGCCTTCCACAGTCCCCGCTGGGGTGGCATTATGGTAAATGGTCACACCCTGCAGAGCCCAGAGCCCAAGCTTCAGGGACAGACTAATGTTCCCTGAGACTGTTCCTTCTGCTGTTCCTCTGTGGCCCGGCCTGAGTGGGTCGGGGAGGTGAGGGCACTGTGAGCTCGTGCCCCTCCTCGGCTGGTCCCACTGCTTTTTGTTTCCATCAGTGTTGCTATAATCGGCCCCTTTTGCACTTGGCAGTTTGCACTGACTTAGGACTATTCTGTGTGTAACTTAGATCTAGGCCCTATCTGTGGGAGTCTTATAAGATTGGGAATTCTGTCTCCCCTGTACGATGGGGAGTTTCTCATGGGTAGGAACTCTAAAATGGAATACAAATATTTTTCTTTTTTTTTTAAACAGATATTTCTTTAATAAGATATGTGAGGGGGTGATGGAGCTATAGGGCTTCACAGGTAGTGCTAGTGGTAAAGAACCCGCCTGCCAGTGTAGGAGATATAAGAGACGTGGGTTTGATCCCTGGGTCAGAAAGATCCTCTGGAGAAGGAAATGGCAACTCACTCTAGTATTCCTGCCTGGAAAATCCCATGGACAGAGGAACCTGGCTGTAGTCCATAGGGTTGCACAGAGTCAGAAACGACTGATAATAGTGGAGATCATGTATATAAAACTCCTAATAGCAGGTATTCCAGAAATATTTGGTTTGTCATTTTTAAAGAGCACAGAGTATGTCTTCCTTTTCTCTCATGGCCCCCAGAGGGTCTGGGGCAGAGCTGTGCACGGTCCTGGCGTGATGTTGAGGCCACCTCGTTGTCCCCTGCAGGTATACAACTTGGACCCCAAAGCCTACAATGGCTCGCAGCTGCCGGTGAGCGTCGAGGTGGACATGGTGCGGGTTATGGAGGTGTTCCTGGCTCAGTTGCGGTGAGGTCCTGGGGGATCCGCTTGGGGGCCTGGCTATTGAGTCTGACTGTTGTCTCTTGGGCTGACTGGACTGAATTCTCACCTGGCAGGGATACCTTGGCGGTGCCTGAAGCCCCAAGGAAACCAAGAAAGGTTTCCAAGAATCCCTTCATCCTTCTCCTAAGAAAGACTAGTTGCTGACAAAGACTGTTTTAGGAAAAATAGGTTTATGAATCCGTGGTGGCTCAGTGGTAAAGAATCCACCTGCCAATATAGGAGACGTGGGTTCAATCCCTGGATCGGGAAGATCCCCTAGAGGAGGAAACGGCAACCCACTCCAGTATTCTTGCTTGGGAAATCCCATGGACAGAGGAGCCTGATGGGCTACAGTCCATGGGGGTCACAAAAGACCCCCATGGACACGACTTAGCAACTAAACTTCAACAACAAGAACAAAAAGTGAGATCATTGGTTAAAGTGGAGCTTGGGGCTCTGAACTGCTTAGGGTTGCCTCTCACCCTCTAAGACCTGAGGTGCTTCCTACAACCCCTGTGGTTCTGGGTGAGATGGAAAATCTTGATAGTTACTCTAGGAATCTCAACCATCTTCTCCCACCTTGTGGTCTCTGCTGCTTTGATGTGCGCTGTTCCTACAGGCTGCTCTTTGGGATTGCTCAGCCCCAGCTGCCTCCAAAATGCCTGTTTTTTGGGCCTAAGAGTGAAGGGATAATGACCTGGGAGTTAGACCGGCTGCTCTGGGCCCGGTCCGTGGAGAACCTGGCCACAGCCACCACCACTCTCACCTCCCTGGCCCAGCTTCTGGGCAAGATCAGCAATATTGTCATCAAGGACGATGTGGCGTCTGAGGTAAGCAGGCAGGGGATGCATTCTGTGGCTGAGAAGTGGAGTGGCCAGCAAGTGCCAGGGAGTGGTGAAGGCAGAGAGCCATCTGAGGTCGAGGGAGTGTATGGGCATGTCATCCTGAGGGCCCAGGGTTCCTCTAGAGGGCAGTGCCAGCTCCCCAGGAGGAGTGCAGTGTGGGTGTGAAGTGTTAAATGGGCACTAAGACGATAACCCCTGGCCCTTTTATACTGGCTGCCATTTATCCCGGGTGAACTTCCATCAACCTGCCTGGTAGATAGAAGACACAGTGGGGCCCTCTCCCACCTCTCCCTAACAGCTGATGCCTCGGACTTTCCGGTAACGCCCTGCCCTTTCCTAGGTGTACAGGGCTGTAGCTGCAGTCCAGAAGGCGGCGGAGGAGTTGTCCTCTGGGCACCTGGCCTCTGCCTTCGCTGCCAGCCAGGAAGCGGTGACATCCTCGGAGCGTGCCTTTTTTGATCCCTCGCTCCTCCACCTCCTCTATTTCCCTGATGACCAGAAGTTTGCCATCTACATCCCGCTCTTCCTGCCCATGGCTGTGCCCATCCTCTTGTCCCTGTTCAAAATCTTCCTGGAGACTCGCAAGTCCTGGAAAAAGCCTGAGAAGATAGACTGAGTGGGGCGGCATCACAGTAGGAAGCCTTCCTTTCCAGCCAGGAGGGGAGGTGTTAGATTGAGAGGCACATAACAGGGCCTGCCACAAGTGATTTGTCTCCAGACTGCTCTGTCACCACTCCAGCAGTCAAAGTATAATACTCGAAGAGGGTTTCCTCTTTCCTGTGCTCCCCATTCTTGTGGCTCAGGTCCCTCCCACTCTTCATCTCCTCCCCCCACTCCAACCCCCAAACCTCAAAAGACCCAATCTGGGTCTCCTTACCTGACTTGAACTTCAAGGCCCTTTTCTGTCTCCTTCTGCAGCAGGGGCAGCTTGTGTTTCTGCCCTGTTCCTCACAGTCCTCTTGAACTGAGGAGGAGCATTAGGGAAAAGCCCTGGGTTGGGTTCTAGGGCCCTTTCCTCCTGCTTCTCTCTGATCCCTCAGAGAAAGCCCTAGCACTGCTCTTCTGGAAGGGGCCAGGCCCCTGTCATCTCTGGGGCCTTCTCCCCTCTCCTGGGTGGCTGCACTTGGTGGGTGCAGCCTGATGCTGTGTGTGGCAGAAGTTCCCTTCTTCATCCCTGTATAGAGGCAGTGTGGTACAGTGGGGAGAATTCTGGACTTGGGATCCAACATGTCTGAATTCAACCCTTGCTTCTGCAGTTAATATCAGGGGAGCTTTGAATAAGCTATTTAATCCTCTCTGAGCCTCAGTTTTTCTTTTGTTAAAATAGCACTAATGACACCTCCCTTACAGGGTGGGTGTGAGGCTTAAATGTGATGAGCTTGTGAAAGTGTCTGGCATATTCTAGGCTCTCAATAAACATTGGTTGAATATGAACTGAAATGATATGAAGTGTGATCATACCTTTCATTCTTCATTCGTGTGTAAGTCATGGTTTTTCTCCTGTCTGTCTTCCTGGGCTCACTAGTCCATTTTACTTCCACCTGGCCACATGCTCTTCCCGCCTTCCCGTCCTGGAGGGCCCTGTGGTGGCTAGATATTGTAGGCTGCTGCTGTCCCTCAGAATTTCCTGGGTTATCTAGCGGGGGGTCTGGGAGAGAAATAGCAGTGTAAGTTCTCAGATACTAAATGATTCATAAATTCTAAAACAGAATATACAGTTGGCCCTTGAACAACGTAGTGGGTGAGATGCCTACCCTCTGTGCATTCAAAAATCAGATGATAATTTATATTTGGCCCTGTTTATCTGCAGTTCCATACCGACATATTCAGCCAACCTCCCATCGTGAGTACTGTAGTATTTTCTATTGAAAAAAATCCACAGATAGGTGGACCCACTCACTTCAAACCCGTGTTGTTCAAGGGTCAACTGTGTTGAGTGCAGGCTGCAGTGGGCACTGTACTAAGTATTAGGTATTCTAGAGAACAAAGACGGGATCTTCAGTTTCACCGAACTGGTCTTGGAGGAGGACTGGTCAATGAGCAACTGAAACGAATTTCAGATGATGCATTAGAAAAAACAGGCTGGTCAGATAGTGACGAGGTGTCTGAGAGGGCCTCTGAGAAGATGACATTTGAGCTGAGACCGGAAGAGCAAGAGGAGGCCATCTGGGGGAAGAGCATCCCAGGCCCTGAGACGGGAACTCACGTGCTGGGCAGAGGGAAGGGCGGAGTGGCTGGAAGTCAGCGAATAAAAAGGAGTAGGTAGCCAGGACCCCTGAAAACCCCTACCGGAAAAATGAACGACTTCCCGGGCAGGCCTCCTCCCTGCCCCGGGTCAGTAGCCCAGGTGGGCGGGGGGTGGGCGGGGCCAGCGCCGGGCCCACCCGGGGGCGGGGCGGTACCTGGGGCCCCGGTCCGGCCGGGGGCGGGGCTGCGGACGCTCCCCCTTCTCGGCTCTAGCCGGCGCAGGCAGCCGCGGCGGCAGCAGGCGAGCCGCGGCCCCGCGAGGCCATGAAGGTGAAGAAGGGCGGCGGCGGGGCCGGGACGGGAGCGGAGCACGCTCCAGGGGCCTCGGGCCCGAACGTGGAGCCTAAGCCGGAGCTGCAGGCGGAATCCGAATCCGGGTCCGAGTCGGAGCCGGAGGCAGGCCCGGGGCCCAGGCCGGGGCCGCTGCAGAGGAAGCAGCCGATCGGGCCGGAGGACGTGCTGGGGCTGCAGCGGATCACCGGTGGTGAGCACCCGCGAGGCAGCGCCGCCCGTGGGCAGGAGTGAGAGAGCACGAGAGGGGGCCTTCGGGGCGCGCGGAGCCCGAGCCCCCGCCCCCTTTCCCGCCCTCCCCCCGCCTCCCCTCCCCCACCCGGGTCCCCCTCGTTTGTGTCCTCTACCCTTCTGCCTCCAAGCCTGAGATCTCCATGTCCCCCCTTCCCTCGATCTCTCTCTGCGCCCCCCTTGTCCCTTTAGAGATTCGTTTCCACCCCTTTCCTTTTTGAGGAGTCCATCCCCCTTTCCCATGGTGGAGGTGGGGCAGCAGCTGCAACTGTGACCCCCTCCCCACAGTCTTCAGAGTCCTTTGAAGATCTTCTCTGCAATAATGAGGAGGGGGGCTGAATGCAGTCAGCCCCCAGTCTCCTCCACCCTAGAGGCTAGGTGTGGTATCAAAACCCTTAGGTCTCCTTCACACTGGACACCCCAGGAAGTCTGGGGCCATCGCTCTCCCCAGGAAAGGACCTGAAGAGGAAGCTTCAGTGGTTTGACTCTGGGCTGCTCAAGGAAGTGGGTTAATACCCTCTTTAGCCTGAACTAGGGCCTGTCCTCTTCTGGGAGGCCCGGCCTCCCCTGTGGTTGAGTTTCTGAGCTGGATTGCCAAACTGAAGTTCCAACTTTGCCGGCCTATTGGCTCTGTGACCTTGGGCTAATAACTTCACCTCTCTGAGCATACTCATCTGTAAAATGGGAATAATGACCCCTACCTTTAGAGAGCTGTTGTGAAAATAAATCCTCTGATTTTGCACTGTGCCTGGCAGGCTGTGCATGCTCTGTAAATAGGGCTCTTTTGTCTATACTGAGGGCCCCTCAGGACTGCTCATGGCTGCTGCCTGGAGGCAGACAACTGGGCATTCAGGGCAGGGGAGGGGGTCACTGTAGGCAGGGAACAAGGGAGGGAAGTGTCATGGCAGAGGCCGTGACTGAGCCTCAAAGAACAGAAGGCGCTTGGAGAGGCAGTGGCCTTCTATCTTGGCCTCATTGGTTAGTAACCCTGCCCTGGCTCCTCTGTGAGGGCAACTTTTGGAGTCCCCCTGTGGGGGTAGGGAGCAGTTGCTGGACTGGACCTGAGCTCTGGCGCTGCAGGAGCAGAAGAATCCAGGGCTTCCAGACAGCTGTGGAGGGGACTGTGATGGCAGGTCTAGGCCTGTGCATCTGGGTCCCCAGGGAACCAGCATCTCCCTCCTCTCTTAGCTGGGCAGCAGCCATTCTTGGCTGGGCCCCTGGAGCCCTGAACTGCCATACCCAAGCAGGCAGTAGTAGAGGGAGGGCGCCTGAACCAGTCTGATGTTGGTGCCAGTTGGGCTGTAACTGGCAACAGCAGCGTTTAGGATTCAGGTTGGCTCCGGGGCAGAACTTCTTTATAGGATGTCTAACTTGTCCCAGTCCTAGGTAACTTTCGAGGTAATTTTGCAGCCAGAGGGGCTTCTAGCCCATATACAACTGTGTGTCTGAATTTGGGGGAAATTCGTAGCCCTTAGAGATTCAGCATCTGTGGGCGATTAGGGAAGTCTTTACCAGATCTCTCTCCTTTGTGGAAGCTGAGAACAGGGCTCCAAGACTTTCCCCATTGGCACCCCTGCCCGGTCTCCTCTGACCCTAATCGCACAGGTCTGAAATTACCCAGCCCCGAATCCAGCTTAGGAAGCTATTTGTGGCTGAGGCAAAGGGAGCAGTTGCATTCTGAGCCCTCAGCCACTCTGCCCCTTATCGGACCTGACCCTGAGTCCCAGGCTTCATCCTTCTCCGGGCGGGGGAGGGAGTGGAGGTGGTGTCCTGAGCCATGGGCATCTTCCATTCCTCACTTCCTCTAAGGACAAAGTGATTGATAGGTTGAGTTTGCAGTAGAAGAGGCAGAGGTCACAGTGCAAGTTGTTCTCCAATGAGAGGAGAGGCTCCAGAAGTTAGGGGGGAAGAATGGGGGAAGGAGGAGAACTCTATTGGGAGCTGGGAGCTGGGCGACTAGGTTGCTGTTCCAAGTTCTGCCACTTCCTCTCCTCTGCCCTGTACTTTCCTCCTACGTCTTTGGATTAGTGTTTACTTTCTGTGAAAATAAGTTGTGTACAGGGTGAGGTAGGACCTGCCTACTTCCATTCCTCCTCTCCCCACTGTGGGCTGTGATGGGCAGGCCAGGGCTCCAGCCCCACCATAAGCCCTGTGTAGTCCCTGCTGGACCCCAAGTGCCAGGTGGCCACCAGGAGGCCTTCCTGGAGGGGGCTGCCCCAGGCTTGGGAAGAGATTATGTCTTTAGGTTCACTTCCTCTTCCTGCCCCAGAGGAATCAGTGGTGGCCTAGGGGCCTAGTGGGTGATTTCTGGGCCTCTGCGGAGAGGATGTGATGCTATGCAGGCACAGGAGCCCCCACTGCACATCTCTGTTTTTTCCTATTTGCTGCCGGGGTGCTTGCAGTTGCTGCTGCAAGAGTGGTGAGGGTTGGATCAGGCCCTGCTATTTCTGAGCTTCCTCAAGCCAGGCCCAGCACTGTTCCTAGTTCCTCTTCTGGGCTCAAGGATTCCCCTTACCCCAGGCACAGTCCTGCTACACCTGCCACACCCTCTTACTGGCCTTGCCTCTTTGCTCTGAGGGTGGCTCAGAGTCAAGAATGGATGGATGACTTTTAACGGGGCAGGGGCGGGGGGGTTCCCTCTGTTAAGACCTCCTCTGCTAAGACCTTCTCTTGTTTGAAGATCAGTGGGGGATGAGAGCAAAGGTGGCTCCCTTCCTCTCTCCACACCCACCTCCCCCCTGAATATTCCAGGCTCTTGGCTTGAGTCAGCAGAGCTTTGACTAAGCTGCTTAAGGGAGCTGGGTTTGTATAAGCCTCTTATGGGGAGAGGAGGGGCCTGGGGGGCGAGGAAGAACAGGGAAGGGGTTGTTTGCCCCAGCGCTACCTAGGTCAGATAAAGTCCTTGCTTGACACACTTAGATGTGGCACCGGGGGTGGCTGTGGGCCAGAGGAGGGGCAGGGGTATCCTCTCTGGAAATAGAGCTGTGTCGCCCCCATTAGAGTGAGGTTCCTAAAAGCAGGGCTTGTCTTCTCTCTCAGGGTGATGGGGGGAGGGGCTTCTCACCTGTTTCTAGACTGGTGGTTAAAACTCAAGAGCCACTCCTGACACAGCGGAGGCTGGAATAAGGGCCCTCCACCACTGGCTGGGAGGGAAAGTGTGGGGGAGGTGGCCTTGTCCTCCATCCTGCGCCTCCCTGACCCGGAAGCTACCAGGAGAGAACCAGTTGTCCCCCGTTAGATCCCAAGAGCAGAGCTATGTCTCCCCCACGCTCTGTGGGAGCTCCCTCAGGTTAGAGGCTCAGTTCTGTCTCTCTGCAAGGCAGTCATCCCAGGGATCAGAGAAAGTGGCAGCTAGTCCGGGGTAGCTAGGTCCCTTCCTCACTCAGCCGCCCGTCTCCCCTAGACTACCTGTGTTCCCCTGAGGAGAATATCTACAAGATTGACTTCGTCAGGTTCAAGATTCGGGACATGGACTCAGGCACTGTCCTCTTTGAAATCAAGAAGCCCCCAGCTTCAGGTGAGTGCATTGGGTACGCCATCATCCACAGAGGAAGTGGGCCCCCCAGGGACCCCTGAGGCCACCGAGGAGTCAGACAGAGCTCGGATTGGCACCCAGGCCTCCCCAGGAGTCACCAAGCAGCGGGGCCCTCTACCTGGGGCTGGGCCTCGTCTTTACCTTTCTCTGTGTCCCTGGGGAAGGACAATCCTGCCCCTTCAGTCACTGCCAGCCTGCCCCCTGTAGGCCCCCTTGGGAACTGCAGTCCCAGAGGCCTCAGGTCTTTTTATCTCTTGGGGCTCTGGGACTCGCAGTTGAAACTGGTGACCTGCTGACCAATTTAAAAGCAATTGGAAGCATTTGGCCAATGATCTGAACCCTCAGTATGCATCAGGATCTCCTGAGGAGTTTTGAAAAAAATTCAGACAGATGAGGTCCCTGGGGTGAAACTTCGGGTGGGCACGGGTCCCACCTGAAGCCCACTGAGACCGGCTGGGGTGCATTCCAGAGCGGCTGCCCATCAACCCGCGGGATCTGGACCCCAATGCTGGGCGCTTTGTCCGCTACCAGTTCACGCCTGCCTTCCTCCGCCTGAGGCAGGTGGGAGCCACGTGAGTCGCTGGCCGGGGTGAGGGGTGGGGTGGGGGTAGGGGTGGGGAGGAGCCCTTCCGGAGTTCTTGCTGAGCCCCTCCGGAGGCCCAGCTCAGCCCCGCCCCCTTCTCTGCTCAGGGTGGAGTTCACAGTGGGAGACAAGCCTGTCAACAACTTCCGCATGATTGAGAGGCACTACTTCCGCAACCAGCTGCTCAAAAGCTTCGACTTCCACTTTGGCTTCTGCATCCCCAGCAGCAAGAACACCTGCGAGCACATCTACGACTTCCCCGCTCTCTCCGAGGAGCTGAGTGCGTTGGGGGAGGAACCTGGGGGGCGGGGGACTCAGAGGGACCAGGTGGAGGGAACGTGGGTCCCATCCCAGGTCTCTTGTGTCTAAGCCACCTATAGGGAAACTGAGACTCAAAGAGGCTGGGGGAACTCTTTGCTCACCTGTCCCCGTCCCCGAGTCCAGTAGTCCCTGCCGGTTGTCCTGGCCCAGGCTCCTGACCTTTGCCCCCAACTGGCTGGGCCTCTCTTACAGTCAACGAGATGATCCGTCACCCGTATGAGACACAGTCCGACAGCTTCTACTTTGTGGATGACCGGCTGGTGATGCACAACAAAGCCGACTATTCCTACAGCGGGACGCCCTGACCCCCCCAAGCCACCCCCAACCTCGAGAGGGTCCTGGGCCCACAGCCATGACCACCCCAACACTCACCTCTCAACCCCGGGTCTTCTGTCCGAGGAGTGTTGCCCAAGTCCTGAGCCCTGAGTCAGTGTTGGGAGGGAGGGTGCCTGAGGTCCCCCAGTCCAAGCCTGTGCAGCCCCTGGGGCCTGGCATGTGGGGTGGGGTGGTAGCGGGACTGTTTACCTGCACATTCCAGGAAGACCTCCTGGTGGAGAAGTGGCCAGGACTTCTGGGTAACCTAGTTGGCCCTAGCTGCTTGGGCCCAAGTTGCAGAATAGAGATCCCATATCCAGGCTTTTCCTCTGCCCACCACCGACAGGCCATTTAGAGTTGTGAATTCACAGATGAAGTTCCATGCGGGGTCTGGCAGTCAAGTTTCCCAAGGGAGTCTGGGCCCTGACCCCAGCCCTGGTCTCTACCATCAGGGGCTGAGATTCTGCCTGAGGTGTGGGAAGGACCTGCCCAGATTACAGCCTGTGGTAGGGGCTGGACCAACTGTATATAGTTTTCAATAAACTCTCCTTTTCTGTTCTCTGGTTGTGGGCTGGCATGTGTGTGTGGTGGTGGCTGGTGGGGGGCAGTGATGTGGTCCCAGGGTATTCCTGTCTCCTGATCCTCCGCACCTGGATACCACTCCAGGCATCTAGAGTCAGTATTTAGTATGCGTTGCAGCTGGAAAGGGTTTTTCCTTTGATAAGGATGGTGACCTGAGCACGCAGAGGGGAAACTTTGGCCCAAAGTCGTAGCTAACCTTGAAGAACAGAGGCTGGGACAAGGGCCTGCGACTCTGGGTGGGAGGGAAGGTGTTGGGAAGGTGGCCTTGCCTTCTACCCCACCTTCCCTGAACCCAGAGGCTACTAGGACCGTTAGGTTGTCCTTTTAGCACTCATCAAAGAGAAGGCTAAGGCCTGGCGCTCTCTTGCCTTTAGCTGCCTTGAGGAGGACCCCAGGCTTGGCTGCCCTGCATATAACACTGCCCCCAGCCTGACCCCAGACACAGAGAATGTCTTCATCTTCTTAATGGAGGAAATTCAGAAACAGGTAGATGGGAGAGTTTACGTCAGGGTTTACAGCCTACTGTTCCAGGCACTAATTTGGATACACTTGGCGCTATTTCTCTCTCTAGACTGAATAGCTAATCTATAGTTAATCTAAGCCTGCGAGGCCTGGAAGTGCTGGAATTCACCTGGGTTCTGTGGAGCCCTTGCGGGAGGGCCAAGATCTGGGTTGAACTCTGGGATTCTAAAATGAGTGAGACATTGGGATTTCCCTGGTGGTCCAGTGGCTAAAATTCTGCTCCCAATGCAGGGGCCCCCAGGTTTGAGCCCTGGTCAGGGAAATAGATCCCACATGCCTTAACTAAGACCTGGTGCAGCCAAATAAAATGAGTGAGACACGAAACAAATACCTGTTCTAGAATAAGATGAACTGAGCGCACTGGAGCAAGAGTCATCCTGCTTGGAGGGTTCTAGAGAGGATTCGTAGATGAATCCTACTCACCCCAACATTCTGTCCACAAACCAGGGACTCAGTCTCAACTCCCATCTCTAGCTCCATCCAATCAATGAAGATTTCGTCTCTTAAAAGTCTCAACTTCATCTGCTTCTCTGCAGTTCTTTACCTTTCACTCGAATGCCTACAATATCCTCCTCAGCACCCCTCTGCCTCTAGCATGGAAGTACTGGGGAGCACCCTGACATGACCGCTTAATAGCTGTGCAATGTTGGCAGGGCAAGTTAACCTCTGTGCGCCAGCTTTTTCTGAAAAATGGGCTTAATCCTCAGAATTGATTGTGGACAGTCTAACACATGTAAGACATTTAGGCTTGGGCCTAGCTTTCAATATATATTGGCTATTAGCTTCACTCTTTCCAATCCACCCTTCACTCAGCTGCCAGAAATAATCTGACCAGGTCATTCCTGCTTAATCTCCTCAGTGGCCCACCATCGTCTTCAGGAGAATTGCCAACATCTGAACCGCTAAGGCTCCACACGTCTTTCACACTGTAAATATTCACTTTCCTGAAAGCAATTGATAAATCGTGCCTCCAAACACTTGCTTTATGCCGTTCCCTTTGCTTCAGTGCTCTCTCCCCATCTCTTCCTGTCTAAGTCGTCCTGAGTTTTCAAGCATTTATGATGCTGGCTGGATTATGAGGTGGTTACCAGGCTCTACTGGTGTTAAGTGAGCTGGGGGCAGGAATGCCTAATGGTCTGCAATGAGTGGGACACTTAATATGAATAACATCCCTCACAATGGAGGGTCACAGAGTAAGCGTGCAGTGAGCGTGCTAAATCGAATTGGGTGAATGTTCTGGTTTGGTCCTGCTGTACTTCCACCTTCAGACAGGTAAGGCGGTCCCTGTTTTGAGGTCCTCATCCCTGGGTCATGTATCAAAGAGGCTCTCCTCTGGTGAGGCCTGGCATAAGGCTGGCTGGGAGAAGCCTTGGACCCCCTCCCTCCTTTTAAGTCTTCATGCCTCTGGCACTGGTCCTGCTGCTAATGGTGCACCTTGGTACATTTGGTTCCTGGCACTTTTCCTGGGAACCAAGAGAATCCCTGGGCTATAGAAGGAGGAAGAAACAGGGTCGGGTGGGGCTTGTCCTGGCTCTCGTGCTGATGAGCTGTCCTTGAAGGCTGCGCTGAACCTTGCCAGAGCTGGGCCTCACATTCTCTTTGAAGTCAGCCAGATATTTTTTGCTTTGACTCCTTAGGGGTGTCATGAGGACCCTACCATGAGGTTGTGCAGGAAAGACCAGATACTGCAGGGGGACCCACCACTCATGCCAATTTGGGCTGGAGCTAGGGGTGCACATGGGCACTACCAAACCCACTGTAAACTATTGAGATGCTTTCCTTCCAGTCGGTGACGAGCTGCTGTCCCCAGCCCCGAGTGCCTTCCTCCCTAGCCTGGCCCCTTCCCTGGGAGCCACCCTCCACTTTCCAACCACCTGTCACCTAAAGCAAGGGTGCTTTACTTTTTGGGGGGTTGGGGGCACAGCACGCAGCTTGTGGGATCTTAGTTCTAGACCAGGAAGCAAACCAGTGTCCCCTACACTGGAAGCGTAGAGTCCTAACCACTGGGCCACCAGGAAAGTCCCAAAGGGTGCTTTACTTTGTTGTGTATGTCATGGACCCATTTGTTGTCTCTGCTGAAGCCTCTGGACCATAAGGGTTTTATGTACATAGAATATATTGTAATCCTGTATATTTTATGTGTTAAAAACTATATATTGATATCTATGTATATTCTGTGATGCCTGTAATATATTATGAAAACATCTGTGATTTCTAATGTGATTTCTCTACCTAATGACAAAGTCACAAATTCTGTGAAAAGTTATTGTGATTTGTTGCTGATGTTCTTAATCGAGGGACATGCTAAATTCAAGGTAGAGATGAGTGAAAATGAAGGTGAAATTTCTTTATCCAAGTTCATGGACTCATGAATTCTAACTGGTTTTAGAACCCTCAGGTTTATAGCCCCTAAACCTGAGAAGTTAAAAGAGTTCAGTTCAGTTCAATCGCTCAGTCGTGTCCGACTCTTTGCGACCCCATGAATCGCAGCACACCAGGCCTCCCTGTCCATCACAAACTCCCGGAGTTTACTCAAACTCATGCCCACCGAGTCAGTGATGCCATCCAGCCATCTCATCCTCTGTCATCCCCTTCTCCTCCTGGGTCTTTTCCAGTGAGTCAACTCTTTGCATGAGGTGGCCAAAGTATTGGAGTTTCAGCTTCAGGATCAGTCCTTCCAATGAACACCCAGGACTGATCTCCTCTAGGATGGACTGGTTGGATCTCCTTGCAGTCCAAGGGACTCTCGAGTCCTCTCTAACACCACAGTTCAAAAGCATCAATTTTTTGGCGCTCAGCTTTCTTCACAGTCCAACTCTCACATCCATACATGACCACTGGAAAAACCATAGCCTTGACTAGACGGAAAAAAAGGGTTAATTTGCCACAAACAGAGAACTTTCAGATCCTGGATCCATGCAAACAATTCCTCTCTGAACGGTGGGTGAACACATGATGAGTGGCCAGCAGGGGGCAGCATATGAGCAGAAGTGTGGGGCTCAGTTCCGATAGCCGCGGCCACCCAGTTGCTTTTTGTTATGTTGTGTTTTGTTTTTCTGCCAGTTTTTAGTCCAGTTGCCAGTCTGGTTACAAATGAAGAAACATGAGACCCCACGGCTTATCTACTTGCCACCTGTCTTACTTGCACAGGGGCAAGCTCACTTACATGTGTGCCGAATGGGCCCAAAATTGAGGTTGGACTGACGGCCTCCAGCTGCTGGGGCTGGAGGTGTAGAGGAGGTTGTCTGAGCCTCCAGGGTCCGAGGTTCTGAAGGAAGTGGGTCCCAGTAAAGTTCTCCCATGAAACACTCACTCTGCTCTTGGGGGCTTGGATAGCAAGACACAGGCCTGCGGTTGCCCCGAGCTGGGGGCTTGACAGAAAGCCTTCACCATTTCCTATACCCCAGGGCTGGGCTGGGTCCGGGTGGAGGGGGGGTTCTTCCTCTTGGGCACACTGGCTGGCCGTGCCTTCACCCCACCCCACCCCTGCATCCCTCTAGCTCTGGCCCCAGCCTTAGAGCCTCTGGGAGGGAGCGTGCTGGTGGAGGGTAGGGTTCTATTATGGGATCCTCTGCAATTATGTCCTCTGGCCAAGGTAGGTGGCATTGGCTGCCCCCAGGCCCTGGCCCCTGGGAAAACTTTCTAAGCAGAAGGTCCACCCATGTCTGCTCTGAGATCGAGGTCCAAGGTCCATGGATAAGCTTTCGGCTCCCACACTTGCCCCATCCCCATTCAGGCCGAATGTGGGGCTGCCTCCCAGGCTGCTGTTTGGTGACAGCAGCCTGCCTGGTGGGACTGAGTGGGCCCTGACCCTCCAGAGACCACCCTCCAGGGCCAGCAGGGCACACAGCATCCTGCTATGTTTCGTTCATGTCACCTGTGGAACCCAGAGCCCAGTCGGGGAAAGAGGGGGGCGGAAAGGCACAGTCTGGATAGGGAAGTGACCCCTTCTTAGTGTGAGGAGATGGAGGCTGAGGAAGGGACAGATCTCAGGAGGAAGGGATGTGGGGGAGGGTACCTACAGCCTCCCTCCCTCCGGACAGGGCAGCTGCTGCTTCCGATCCTTCAGGAAGTTCTCCTGGGAAGAGATGCTCCCCACCTCCCCCCACACCTCATCCCCTCTCCTCCCTTTGCTGTTTAGAAGTCCTCCGAGATGCCTCATTCTTCAAATTGAAACTTCCCAGTTCTGGGTGAGGGTTGAGGCAAGATCACAGGCCCAGGGAATCTGGAATCACAGTCAGTGTGTCCCGACCTTTTTGCCCCACAGAGGGGAGGTCTAGAAACGAAGGCTTGGGAGCTGAGACCACAAGGCATTTGCTTTATTGTTCCAGGACAGGGAACAGTGGCAGGCCATCAGGGGTTCTGCTTGTGTCTCATCTGAGCCTGGGCCCAACCTTGGCGGGGTGGGGGGTGTTCTTGTCAGCCTCAGGCCCCGGGTAGGCTGAAGTGGGAGCTTCAGCCTACTTGGTGTGGGTTGGGCTCTCAGGACACAGTGGGCAAGCAAGTCACACCCCCTTGCTCCAGGGGCATCCTGGGCCTGCCCAGCAGTCAGAGAGGGGGCATGGGTGCTCCCCCACCAGCCTGAACCAGCATTCCCTCCCTAACTGCCCAGGCTGTCTGAAACAGAAGTATTCATAAGCTGGGACCTAAACTACATGAAGTTCTCAGGGGTGACTATAGTGACCTGGAGGGGCCTTTCCTGCATCCAGGGCTGGGACAAAAGGACACTTTCAAGTTTCCGAGGGCAAGGGTTTTTCCAAACACTTTATGTCGGAACTGGGCTCAGTTTGGTCCTGGGGCGGACATTGCCCCACCTGTGTGTCATCCCCCGGGGGAAGCCAGATAGAGCTTAAGTTGAGGACAGGTTGAGAGCCTGGCAGGGTGGGTGCTGTGAATATCAGCACCCTCTTGGGGGCCCATAGACAACTTGGGGAGAAGCTCCATATCTCCTCCTTCTCGATGGGCTGTTGGGATGAAGATGGGAGAATAAATATAGGGGGCTTCTGGGAAAGATCACTCCTGGAGGGGGGCAGGCCTGCAGAGAACATGGACATCAGAAGAGGGTTCCAGGGTGGTCTTGGACCTGGCTGGGGACCCTGAGCTTCTGATAACCAAAGCCTTCAGCTCTCAGCTGCCCCCCAATGAAGTCTGTGATGTAGTTCTGATTCCTTTGGATATAAGGTGAGTGGGTGTATGTCTGCATAACTGTGTGTGAGTGTGTGTGTGTGTGCCTGTGCACATGTGCACGAGAGCCTAAGTGTGGATGAGTGTGAGCCATGGAGAATGCATTTTCTTCTTGCCCAGACACTTGCTCTCCAGGATCCCTGGGCAGGAGCTGGTGTACCACGTGGTAGAAATGTGCGAGGGGCAGAATCCTGGGTGGTGACTTCACCTCCAGCTGCCAGCTAACAGCCAAGTTGGCTTTGTGACACAGGGGACAGGGAGTGTGTTTCCTTCCTTGACCTTTAAGGTGAGCCCGACATGGGCGGCCGGCTGGGACTTCCAGGCCAAGCAAAGGCTGGAGCTGCTGCAGGGCATTGCTCAGGCCAGGGCCATGGGCTTGGAGCTGGGGCTGAGGTACACAGAGGGGCCAGCAGGGGCCGCGGGAGGTGTGGGCTCCAGCTCCATGAAGGCCGAGTAGAGGGTGGTGAGATGCAGGTCACCCAGTGCCCCAGAGCCCCCGTTGCCTGGGGGTGCCAAGTCGCCTGTCCCACTGCCGGTCTCGGCCAGACAGGGCCCAGGGGGATAGCAGGGAGGGGGAGCTGGCGGCACTGAAGACGATGTTGGTGATGAAGTCACCAGTACCAAGGGGTCAAGGGCCAAGCTGTCATCCTTCAGCTGTTCCCATAGGTTTCCTATTTGGGGGAGAAAACAGGCATCACTGGGAGGCACCAAGGAGCCCTGTCTGCCTCCCACCCCATGCTCTCCACATGGGGTAGAGAGCAGGACTGGGGTAACACTGATTGGAGAGCAGGCCTTTGGCACTAACTCTGTGATCCCAGGCAGTTGCTAAACCTCTCTGAATCCTCCTCCCATGTAGGACAGTGTGAATGCCATAGCCCAGAAGATCTCTGTGGCTCTTTTTTGGGGGATGGGGGAGTGGTCAAAGATTTAAGAGCTGCCTGTTGGAAGGGTTGATGCAGATGCTGTACATTCACCCTAGCTCTTGTCCAGGTTCCCAAGGAAGGTGACTGTGCAGCCCAGACCAAGGATCTTCCAGTAATGCACTGTGGCATCCAGTGAGCTGGTTGGGCTCCTCTGTTGCAGGGTCCAAGGAAAAGGAACAAAGCCCTGTCGGGAGGTGCTCCCCACTGGGAAGCACCGACTCTGGGGTGCAAACTATGCTGCACCCGATCTTTCTCTGTGTGGTGTGACCTGCGTTGTGGCCGGCCAGGGCCTGGGGATCAGGGCTTCAGGGTCTGGAGGAAGGGGTCTGAACTAAACCCAAGACTGGCTGCCTGGTTTCCAATGCTAACTCTCCTTCTTTCTAGCTCAGTGACCTTGAATAAGTTACTTAACCATGGTGCACATCTGTGAAATGGGTTGAATAATCCCTCCTACCCTATAGGCCCACATGAGAGAGTGCATGTAAAGTGCCTCACACGATGCCAGTAGGGCTCAGGTAAATGTTTATGATAGCCCACATCTCTATAGCTTCTTCTGAGTCTGTGGAGCCCGGCCCCCACTTCTGGAGGGAGCTGCGGCTCTAGTTGCCCTTCTCCAAGAGTAGCTTCCCAAGACCTGGGCTCTCTCCTCATCAGACTGGGAGATCTCCGAGGGTCAGCTGCCCCCACCTACTTGTGGATGGCCCCTACCCCAGGGCACACAGAGGGTCTGAGGCCTGGGTCAGCACCCTCCTTCAAAGCTCCTGTGGCCAGTACCAGGGCCTGGGGGTGCCCTGGAGATTAGATGGGAATGGGTGGGGTTGGCCACAGGCAGATATGCAGCAGGTGAGATGGAATGGAAGAGACAGATTCTCTTCCTGGGACCTGCTTAGCTCCTTGGCCTTCCCTTCTTCTGGGGAAAGATCCCTCTCATTCTTCTGCATTAGGTGATGAACTCCAAAAATATAGTCGCTTCTGGAATTGTTCAGAATCTCTGTTGCTCACAATCAACTATGGAATAGACCATCAGCCCCTTTCCAGCCTGTGTCTTCTTCTGAAGCTACTTGGGGGGTACGCACCCCTGGTCTATATCTTCTTCTGAGGCTGTTGAGCCCAGCTCCCCACTTCTGGAGGGGGATGAGGCTCTAGCTGTCTGTCTCTAACAGTAGCTTCCCAAGACCCGGGCTCTCCCGGGCACTCTCAGCCCAGAGCTGAGAGTGGTTTGGTGATAGGTCAGTTGGAACCCGTTCAAGGGCACCTAGGAGGAGGGAGATCGGGGCAAGAATATTCCTCTTTGACCCTTCACCACCACCACCCATTCCCCAGCTCTGGGCTTTCTCTGCTCTGGAAATCCAGCAGTTAGCAGGCTGCAACCTGGGGACTGAGATGGCCCGGGCCACACTACCAGCTGCCCCTGTGCAGGCCTGTCCCCCCTCCCCTTCCCACCCCCAGCTCACCCTGGAAGTCAAAGTCGGTGAGAGAGGGATTGATGGCGTCCAGGTCAGTGCCAAGGTCCCCGTCTGGCAGCAGAGTGTCATGCATGGTCCTGGCTGGGGAAGGCTCAGCGAGCAGCTTGGCACTGTGGCTAGGTGGGGTGTGGGCAGGCAGAGGCGAGTCCTGGGGGGCGCCTGGCTGGGCCCGCAGCTCTAGATGCCCATCTGGCTGTGGGAACAATGGCTGCGGAGGTCCAGGAGGGGCCAGGCCCGGCGAGAGGTGCGAGTATGTCTGCGAATAGCAGGAGGGCGCGTGCCCCCCAAGTAGGTCCTGCAGGGGGTTCTTGCCAGGAATGGGGCCCGGAGCTGGATGGATTGAGTGCAGCGGCTGGGAGAGCCCCGCTGGAGGTGCCAGGGGCTGGATGGAGCCGGAACCTGCCAGCCCAGGGGGTGGGCAGCCGAGCAGCGGGGAGCCCAGCTTCTCCCTCTTGTCTCCAATGAGGCTGTCCAACTCCTCTGAAAAGGCCCAAGAGAGGATACTGTGAGACCTCCTTTCCCCCACCATCGCTCCCAGCCTTGGAAGCACATTCAGGCCCTTTCCTTATTCATCAGCTTTCCGTTGCCCAGCTTTTCTCACCACCCCCACTCTTACTTTAACTTTTCAGCTCTGGGCACCCCGGGTCCACCCCGCTGGCTGGCAGCCTCACCTGGCTTGGCCATGCTCTTGCGCACGGCGATGGGGTCTTTCCTCTTCCACTTCTGCAGCTCCTCCTGCATCTTGTCAATCTTGGCCGGATTCAGGGCCCACAGGCAGCCCTTACGAGAGGAACTTCCCGATTTGTTCTCTACCTTCTCGAAGCACTTGTTAAGAGACAGGTTGTGGCGGACAGAATTCTTCCAGCCATCAGGCGCTGTCTGCCGGAGCAGAGCAAGACACGAATTCAGGCAGGGGTCAGGAAAAGCCTTGGCTGCCTGGGCACACAACGGCCACCCACTCTGGGGCTTGTCATGCTCCTCAGGAGCCAGCCCACACTCAGTCCCATCAGTAGTGGGGCAGGGATGGGCAAGAACCTCAGTCACAGTTATTAGCACCTAAAATCTACCTCCACCCTACCCCATGCCCTTCAGAGGACTGTGAGGGGATTCATGCAGGAGGAGCTGGTGGGTGCTAAGCAGGAGGTCCTCCCCCACCTGGGTCTGGACCACTCCCTGCTGGGTCTCCAGGCCTGTGCTTGGACCCCTCTGTGCAGAGGGCCTTGCCCTCTGAGCTCTCTGGGGCTGTGTCCCCCTGCTGTAAGCTTGACTCCGGGGTGTGGGTCCGTGAATTCCTCCGAGTGTGAGGACATGTGTGTCTTGCTAAGGAGGTGTGTGTGTGAGAAAGGCTCTCTGGGGGTGTGTGTGGGTATCCATGATTGTATGTGTGTGTGGGTGTTTACATGTGTGTGCCTGGGGGGCGTGCCCTGGTGGGGAGGCCAGCCCTCAGGCGGGGGATGCTCGTGCCAACAGAATAAACACCCATTAGGAGGCCTGGTCATGCCACCAGTGCAGTAATTGTGCCCAGGGAGGGTTGTAAAAACCATTAGGCTGACTCAGTCGGGTGAGAGGCGGTGGTGGGGGTGCCACTGGGCACCCTCCCCCCGCACCCCTCCCACCTCCAGAGCTCTCTTCCAGGCTCTGTGACAGTCCTGGGCCCAGCAGGGGTGACTGTGGGCAGAGCACCTGCTCTGCCTGGTGAGGTCCTTCTGTGCCCTCACCCCCCTGGCCCCTCTCCCTTCCAGCTCACCGTTTCTGCCTAATGAGGGGCAGCCACTCCCTCCTCCCCAGCTCGCCTGCCCCAGGGAGCAGCCAGGCTGAATCACGTCCAGCAGAACCGGGCCCCGATGCCAGCGCTGCTGCAAGTGGTTGGCAGGATCGGCTGAAGCCTTTCCTAGGGGCCACTGGCCTGGGTCAGGGGTCTGGTTGAGATGACCCCCAAAGCTCCCAGGGTCATGAGAGAAGACTCTTAAGCCACCAGACCAGACAGCTAGGGATTCACCTTCAACTGCTTCAGCAGTCCCTACGAGGAGTCAAGGCTGTGTGGCCCGGTGGGCAGACTTAATGGGCACCGGGCCCTTTACAGCCCCATAAAACTGTGACTTTGGGTTGCCAGAGCAGCCCCCACCCCAGCCGCTTCCTGTTTGGAAGAGGGATGGTCAGCACTAGCAATTATGTCCAGTGGCTAGAACTTGCCCCGTCCCACATCGCTGACTCACAGGGCTTCAGGACGCCCATCTCGGCTGCCTTGGGCATGAGTGCTGCCCACCCCAGGGTCCACTTGGTCCTAGCCCAGAAAAATGACCTTCAACTGGGGAATGAGAGCCAGAGGTGGGGAGAGGATCTTTGAATTCTTTCCTTAGGTGTATCAGAGGGGAAGGAATCTGTGTGCCAACTGGTCCAATCTGACCATTTTACAGACTGGGAAACTGAGGTCCAGAGAAGAAAGGGTCCAGGCCGAGATCATATAAGGAGGCAGGGACAGAGCCAGACTCCAGCTCTGTTCCCTAACTAAGGGCCCTGCCCAGGTCACCCCACCGGCTTGTCTTTACCACCTGGGGCCCGTCCCATCCTCACAGATGGTTTCTCTCTGAAGTCAAATGTAAACTTGGGAGGGAGGGAGTGATGCAACTGGCTAAGAACAACAACTGGAACCAAAAAAAAAAAAAGCAGTTAGACCTCTTCACTCCTCAGCCCCATAAAACAGGGATTACACGGCTCCCAGGAAAAATAATTAAGCCAGGAAGATGAGATGTAGGGAGGGGCTGGGGGCCAGGCTGGGAGTTGGCAAGGAGGAAAAGCTGAGAGGAATGGGGCAGGGCCCTCCCCCACTTCTCTCTCTCCGGCCTGACTCCTTGAAGCCTTAGGGGACACTCTAAAAGCTTTACAGGTCAATGAGACTTTGGCCCCCTGACATGCCAGGATTTAGAGGGCAAGCCTGGATACCGGCTGTGATGCTGCTTGAATACCAGTGCCAACTCTCCTCCTTGCTCCTCTCCCTTCCAGAAGCTCTGATGGATGACCATGCTTTTTCGTTCTTGGCCAGAACTCTGGCCATCTTGCCCATTCGTCATTCGGTGGCAGCTCAGCAAGTCCGAACTTGTTGGAATCTTTGTTCAGTTGCTAAGTTGTGTCCCACTCTTTGTGACCCCAGGACTGTAGCCCGGTCAGGCTCCTCTGCCCATGGGATTTCCTCAGGCAAGAATACTGGAGTGGGTTGCCATACCCTCCTCCAAGGAATCTTCTGGAGCCAGGAATTGAACCTGCACTGGAAGGTGGATTCTATACCGCTGAACCATCAGGAAAGCCCCTTGTCTGAATATCAACCTCAAATTATCCCCAGACAGCACAACTGGGAAGATGGTGGGGTCAGAAATCACCCGCTGGTGGGTGGAGCTGAGTTCTGGATTACTTGGGTCTCAGCTCCTGTCCTTTGCCCGGACAGCAGGTGAGACCATATCCATTAGGTTTCAGGCCTTGGAGAAGGCACTCCTCATACACAAGCTCTGACTTCCCCTGCACCCACCCCAGAAGGAGGGGTTTTTGTTGGAGGGCCTGGGGAGCTTGCGGACAAGGGAAGTGGGAAGCCAGAAAGCCTGAGCCAGCAGCAGGAGATCCCACCTGCTGTTTGGCCTTGAACAAATGGAGAGAGAAGGGTGCTTGTCTTGCCTGTAGGGAAAGAATCTGGTAGAGCCCCAGAAGCCCCTTCTGTGGTCAAAAGAGACTAGATCCTGTTCGTGGGAAGGTTAGGTGAAACAGCCAGCTCCCTAGGACACTCTAAAACTGTGAAGCCAACACCCCACTTTCTGGCACAACTGCAGCTGAGTCTGACGCCCACGGAGGCAGATCCTAATCTCTCCCAGGAAGGCAATGAGTTCTGCAGCCCCAGCATCCTGGGTCACCTTGGCTGGCCAGCTCCTACCCCAATTCCTCAGTCCCACAGCATCCTGGGGGCAGCAGTGGGAACAGCCTCTTATTTCTCCCCAAGCTCTGTCCCCCAGTTTGGGGTAGGTGGATGTTCCTTGAAGCCTATCAAGTTGCCATGTCCATCTTCCACCAGCATGAGGTCTGACTCCAGCCTGCTGTGTGACCTCTGGTGAATGGCTTGAGCTCTCTGTTGCCCGCACAGAACTGTCCTTCTAAAGGGCAGACAAAGGGAAGCGTGTGGTGGGAGGGCACACTCTCGGCTTTCATTCAAACGCATCTCCCACCTCCCAATGGTATCTTCTGGTTCCAGAGAGGTCTGGCTTGCCCCAGGACGTGGGGGTGGTGGGGTGGGGTGGATTTGGGGCTCACCTTGAAGTAAGGAAAGTGCTCCGTCATAAAATTGTAGATCTCGCTGACAGGAAGGCTCCCAGTTTTACTGTTCTTAAGGGCCATGAAGATGAGGATGCTGAAGGCAGAGAAAGCTCTGAGAGTTGGAACCTCTGATCGGGCCTGGAGTCTTCCCCCACCCTCCTACCCTGGCTGGAACAGTTAAGAAAGAAGAGCCTGCTGCAGAATTCATGGGTGAGAGGCAGTCGAGAGGAGACGGAATGAGAAAGTATCCACTGAAGTTAGGAATTACTGATATTCGAGGGTTTTGTGGCATCTGAGAGAGCTGGCTTGCACTCTTGCCTTTAGTCACTCACTAGCTGTGTGACCTTGGGTGAGTGCCTTAGCCTCTCTGAGCCTCAGTTTCCTCAGCTTTGAAGTGAAGAAAGTAATAGCTACCTCAGAGTCGTGAAGATTAAGGATGCTGCCTAGGACATAGAAGGCTCTCATTAAATGGACGCTGTCATTATCAGTCAGCCCTCAGCCAATTGCTTGAATATTGGATTGTAAGGGAGGGAACTAAGGTTATTTGAGCCCCTACAATGTGCCAAGCATATTCTCTCACTTAATCTATCCAAAGGCCTGAATACGGCAGTTTTTTTTTTTTTTTTTTAATATGAATAAACAGAGGCTTAGAAAGATTAAGTCACTTGCCTGAGGTTTCACAGCTAGTAAATTCGGAACCTGGACTTGAACCTGGTTCTACTGGGCTCCAAAGATTGCATGTGCTATTTTCTGTGCACCATCCTGCCTTCCACAAACCCCTTCTCTGTGCTCCTGGATAATGTGTAAGTACTTTTTCCATTTCCTGAGCTCACCCTGGCTGATGCCCTGACCCCACGTGAGGCCTGGCACACAGGAGCTCGAGTATCAGTGTTGGTCGGATGAATGAAAGTTCAGACGGAAGGGGTCCCAGCTGGGTGGGGTGCTGGTGGCCTGGCACCTACAACCCCAGCCCCAGAGCCGCTGCAGCAGATCTGGTAGATGCTGAGTAACTGAACCACCTCTGCAGACCTCACCCCTCGCTTACTTCTGGTGGCTTACTTTGGGGTGAGGCTTCTCTCTGAGTCTGCAGAGGGAAGGGAAAGGGAGGAGCGTCCCCCACTAAACTCTCAGTCCCAGGGCCCCAGGAGGCTAGAACCCAGCGGGCTCACCCCGGGGCACTAGCATCTGCTGAGCTGAGCCACAGACATGGCTCCCCAGGGATGGACGAAAGGTCAGAGGGGAGCTAGTCAAGCCCCCTGCCCCCATGCTGGAGTCTTCTCTCTAGCATCCTTTGGAAGTATACTGGGTATGACTTCCACCCCCCTACCATTACCCTAACACCTCAAGGATTCCATGTCTCAGGGACTTCTCACCCCTCTTCCTGCTACCCCAGAAGTGCTGAGAAACTTACCTGTAGGAGTAAATGGGTTTTGGGAAGAGGGGCTGGTGCCCGTCGGTGCTGGCCTGGGGTGCGATGCGCTGGTAGGGATAGTGTGAGGAGCCCAGGTACGGTACAGGGTAGCAGCTGCCACCTGGTGAGTACTGTAGAGGTCAAAGGGGCAGAGTGGTTGCCACGGTAACCAGTCTTCCCAAGGAAGGGAGCCCCCTCCCCCCACTCATATACATCCAGAGAAGGAACTGAAGCTAGATTCTTCTCCCAAGTGTTCTGCCACCCATGGTCATGGGCCCCAAAGGCAGAGCTATCTGAGGCTGGCCAAGGATGTGGCTGTCCTGGGAAGGCCTGTGAGGAGATCCACATTCCAGAATTCAGGATCTCAGAGGTCTCAAAACCTCCTTCAGCATCTTCCTCTCAGACCTCTAGGTACCCTGGTTGCCATGATGATAGGACAGGAGCTGAACTAGAACGTGTGAGGGGTAGCTCGCGCCCCTGTACCCTTTCGGGCAGCTGCTTCGGGCCTCCCTGGCATCTCCTGGAGTGCTTGGGCCGGAAGTGGGGTGTCCGGCCTGGGCATTTGCTGGGCACTGGCCCCTTTTACGAGTTTCAGTGGCTCTTTGAAAGGGCCGGTCATGGTGGTGGGCAGGTGAGGGTAGGAGGTGGTTTTTACAGCAAAGGGAGTGGCTGCCAGGGATGGTGTTTTATGGGGGTGAGAGGGGGGTAGGAGACTCTGACTCCCCCATCTGCTCCAGGCTGAAGTGCTCTTTCCAGGTCACCGAGAGACACTTAGTGACTGAGTCACCCTCTCTGCTGCCTCCATAAAGCCCTGGGTGCGGCCATCTTGTCCGGGGAGCGGGTGCAGAAGACAGAGGGGATCAGGACAGAGCTGGACACGGCGAAGCCGTCGAGGGCCTCGTAGCCCCTGAGCCCTGCCGTGGCTCAGTCCTGTTGGGCCAGGCTGCCTCAGGGACACCCCTACCCTGGGTCAGACCATGAGCCTCAGGATGGCCGGGCCACTCCAGCCAGGCTCCTCACAGAGTGAGGATGATCCCGTGTTCCCTCTGCTTCCCTCCTTCTCTTTCTTTCTCCCCACAAAGCAAGCAGTCTGACCACCCTCCCGCCCACGTGCCTGCCTCCCTGGCTTGGCCAACATCGGGGCCAATGCCAAAGAGCTGGGAGTAGAACCTGCTCCACAGGCATGGCCTGTCTCAGTGCCAGGCTGCAGGTGGATGGAGCTGGGCGCTGGGCAGCCACTTGCTCTGTCTTGCCCGGTGACTCCTGGGAGCTGCCTGGCTGCTCTGGGGCACTTTTCTTTCTCTTTTTAAAAACCTCCATCCCATGCCAGTGTGGGGCAATTACTTGGCATCCTGTGAATCGGGGAGGAGCTGAGGCTGAGCAGTGGGGTGGGGAGTGGAAAAAGTGTTAGTCTGTCAGTCGTGTCCGACTCTTTGTGACCCCATGGACTGTAGCCCGCCAGGCTCCTTTGTCCATGGGATTCTCCAGGCAAGAATACTGGAGTGGGTTGCCATTCCCTTCTCTAGGAGATCGTGGAGACGGGGGAGAGGGCCAAAGATGATGGGGACTTGGAGCCTCCAATGGGGAAGGTCCCCTAGCCTCACTCCTGGTCCCACCCTGTCTAGGCTCAAGGGAACTTTGAGGCCAAGGCCACATAACAAGATGGTAGCTGACCCAGGCAAGAGCCTGTTGTTTCTGTGGTGTTCAGCCTTGTGTGTTACCCCACTTAAACTCCTTTTCTCTTTGCTCAGTCCTTGTCTTGTTCTCCTCTTTCTCTTCTGTTTTTGGTTCCATCCAGCCCTGCCCCAATCTCAGCCCCACCCTCTTTGCCCAGACCTCTCAGGCACTGCCTGGGTCTCAGAGAAGCCCCGCCCGCTCCCAGAGAAGGGCAATTGCTTCCCTTCCTGTGAACCCGTGTTCCCCACCTTGGGTGGCCCAGCCTGAGATTCAGGGCCCTGCTGCCCCTACCTGCCCATCCAGCTGTGCATGCATACACTCATATACACACCCACACATCACACATGAACATAATATCCTGAGACCCTGGGGGAAATTGCCCACCTGCCCCAGACCCACCTGGTGGAAGGGGGGCTGGGAAGGACAGTACATGTGCTGCAAGGGGGGCTGGTAACAGTACATCCCCGGACCACTCTCCAGAGCTGGGGGCTTGACCTTGACTTCTGACCCCTGCTGGAAGGAAAGAAACAGATGACCAGGCTGGACCTTGTCTTTCTTCTTTCCTATCATCCATCTTGAACATTACACAAAAGCAATTCCACCTTTGCCTCTAGCAAAGCTTATTCCTGAAGGACAAATACATGAGAACAGAGGAGGGCAAGGATTTTCCCCAGGGAACTCAGCAGGTTAGTGGTGGAGTTGGAGCTGGAACTGATTGTGCTCCGTACTCCCAACTTCCCTCCAAGTGAGAGGCTGAGGCTGGTCTATCCAGGCAAGTGTGGGAGACTTGTCGTCAGTCACACTGAAGCTGGGGGAGGACCCTGGAATGACACAAGGATAACCCCACTCACCAAGCCTGGCTCGGGACCTGCTTCCTGGTTCAGAACCACCAGCCCCTCAGAGCAGATCCGCAAAAGATCACTGCTCTGGAATTTCCACTGCAGAGCCATGGGGAGGGAGCACAGGAAGTGGTCAGACAGGCTGATCCAGCTGGGGCCCCCAAGGCCCTACCACTTCCTATTCTGCAAAGCCCAAGGTAGATCTAGCAGGTTCTCTGGAGGGGGCTAGTGAGTCCCCTCTGCCCTGGGCGCGCCCAACTCAGAGCCTCTGCTCTCTGTTCTGAGGAGTCTGTGCTGTGTGCTAAGTTGCTTCAGTCGTGTCTGACTCTTTGCAACCCTGTGGACCGTAGCCCACCAGGCTCCTCTCTCCGTGGGATTTTCCAGGCAAGAATACTGGAATGGGTTGCCATGCCCTCCTCCAGGGGATCTTCCCAACCCAGGGATTGAACTGGTGCCTCTTATGTCTCCTGCATTGGCAGGCAGGTTCTTTACTGCTTGTATCTCCTGGAAAGCTCTTGAGGAGTCTACTTAGTTGCTAGTCTGCTGGAGCCTTGTACCCTTTCCCACTCTGGCAGAGGGAGTCTGCAGCTTCTGCTGGTGGTGGGGGCCGGATCCTGGCTTCCCACAGGTTGTGAGCCCCAAGTGGAACCCCCAGGGACTTGCCTAGAGCTCTACCCTGAGTAGGCACCCAGACAGAGAGCACAGCTAGGGACTTGAAGGTTAACAAGGCCAAGAGCAGGTGGATCATTCTTCTTGGGGTTACCAGGGGCCTGGGGAACCAGCATTTAGGCCCAGAGGGTCACATCAGCTGTGAGCACTTTCCTGGGTGTGCCCTGGGGTGGCTGATGCAGAGATATCCATAATCGTAGAATCTCAGGCCTAGAAGGGCCATGAATACTATGTCCAACCCTATCATTTGGCCAATGATGGGGCTGAGCCCATAGAAGGGAAGGGATGTGCCCAAGGTCACTCAGCGAGTCGACCATCCTGCTGTGGGTCTCTGGGCCCGAGTTCTTCTCCTTGGTCTCTATGGGACCTCAGTTTCTTCTTCTGCAAAATGGAGGTAGTGGGAACTCTTTAGAGGGTTGTTGTAAGGATTAAAGAGTACTTGAAAGGAAACATCTGGCACAGTGACCAGAGGCCAACACTGGACATTTACAGGGCAGTAACTGATGGAATGGGGCTTCCCAGGTGGCTCAGAGGTAAAGAATCTGCCTGCAATGCAGGAGACATGCAGGAGATGCATGTTTGATCCCTGGGTTGGGAAGATCCCCTGGAACAGGAAATGGCAACCCACTCCAGTATTCTTGTATCTGGAGTAGGCACAACCCCAACTGGGAGTGGGTTTTCCTCTTCCCAAGGCAATAAGCCTATGGGGTAGGTGCTGGCAAATATACCTTTCTGATGAGGCTCAGAGAGGTTAAGTGACTTTGCCCAAGGTCACAGAGCTCATGGGTATGGCTATGAAAGGACATATTGATCTGAGATGCTCTCAAGGTATTTCTATTAATACACCCAGGCCTCATTCTAGGTAAAGAATGGGGCCCAGAAGTGTCCTTTGAGAAGACTTAAGTCCTCTCCCAACTCTGCATGGTGATGCTGGAGTGGAGAACATTGTGCACTGTGACTCCTCCCTAAACCCTTTCTCCCGGCCTCTGGAATGCGTTTTTCTTCTCGCATTTACATATGGGTATGAAGGTCTGGCTGGGGATTCTTGACTTTTAAATTGAGAGAAGCTGCATGCAGGAATCCTGACTCCGGAGCCTCTGGGGAGATTCCAGCATCCCTGGATCTGACCAGACTCCCTGACCTGACCCCTTCGACACTGGGCCAGGTCAGCATTCCCTTCCTCAGCTGATCTGGAGGCTCCGAATGAAGCTGAAAGACCCCAACTCTCTGAGCTTGCAGGTGCACACTGACCCTGAGTAGAAAGGTCTGGAAAAGGGATGGCAGAAAGTTTGATTTCAGAAGACTTTCTGGAGTGCTGGGAATTGGCACAGGGGTGATGGGGTGCGCGCTGGCGCTGGTACTCACCAGGACTTGGGGGCTGTGCTCCTGGTTGGGGTATGGGAGCCCATTGCACCAGACCTCCGCAGGGAAGCCAGGCAGGAAGGCCTCAGCCTCCCCCACATCCTCAGGGATCTCCTCAAAGGCCTCCAGAGCCCCCGGGGTCTTAAAGGAGTGTCCTTCGAGGGCCAGGGCAGTCTGGGCCTCAGGGAAGACATCCTCATGGAAATGTCGCTTGTATGGGTGGAAAGGCACGTGGCTGCCCTTGAGGAAGCGCCCGGGACCGCTCGCTGGACCCTCCTCAAAGCCGAAGCCGGGGTACTTGTCTGAGGGTGAGAGCCGGAAGGGGCCCGGGCCAGGGCCGGCAGGGCAGTGGACTTGCTCGGGGTCTGGTGATGCGATGCTGGGGCTGTGTGGGGGCAGTGAGGACTCCCGCTCTGGAGGGCCATCAGGTACAAAAGATGAGCAGCTGAAGCCGGCATGCTTCTGGGGTGGACAGAGGGTAGACAGCCTATGAGTGGAGGCTGGATCCAGACCCGACTCTGCGAGGGTAAAGGGTCTGTGGCTGAGCTCTGGGAGTCCCCGGTGGAGGAGGGAGACCTCACCCGCCCTTGGAAGCCTCGATCTGATGAGGACGCACCGCTCGAACCCCGGGGTCACCCCCAGTAGGATGGATGCACAGCCCTGCCCTGGGAAAGTCCCGGACCAAAGGGACAAGCAGAGGCCCAGATCTCAACACTTCGGGATCTGGGAGTCCCTGGGTACTCGTTTGCTGGAAGAAAGGACAAGAGAGAAGCAGGGAGGTCCCGGGGGGGTGGGGGTGATGGCCCACCTGCTGTCATGCGGCCCTCTGGTCTTGGCCTCAGCCCAGGCCTAGGTGCCAGGTACTTACGTTCTGCGGGGCGGGGGAGCCTGGGAGGCCTGGTGCCTGCATGAAGTCCCCTTGGGGCTCGCCCTCCAGCCTGGTGGGGCCCGGCAGCGTGACGTCAGATTGTGGCGGGAGTAGCGACACCATCACCCAGTCCTGGCCTCGAAGAAAGCCGGCTGTGATGAGAGCGAGGACCAGCGTCCAGGGCTGACCAAGCCCGAGTCCGCCCCTCCCACCCCCTCCCTGGGCTGGGACCCTGCCTCCAGCCAGACGTCGGATGAGAGAGAGAAACAGAGACAGACAAACAGACAAGCCGAGAGAAACATCAGAAACAGAGGGAAGCAGATAAACAGTGTGAGAGACAGACAGTGAAAGACACTCAGGGAGAGGCTGGGAGCCTGCGAGGACGTGGATTCTGGCGGCCCCGTGAGTCTGGTGTGACACTGAGGAGTGTGTGGCTGCTGGGGTTTTCTGCCGCCTCCGCCACACTCCAAAGTACCTGTGACTCTGTGCAGGCCGCTGCCCTTGCTGAGCTCTAGAAGCGCCATTCGAAAAACTCGGGGCTTGCACTAGGACACGTGAGGGCTCTTTCTGCTCAGACATTCTAGAGTTATAGGAGAACTCTGTGTCCAGCATAGCCGAGTCGTTAACAGGACTCAGCTCAGGGACGTCCCTGGTGGTCCAGTGGTTAAGAATCCTTCTGCCAATGCAAGGGACGCAGGTTCAATCCCTGGTCCAAGATCCCACATGCCATGGGGCAAGTAAGACTGTACCACAACAAGAAAGGAACCCACGCACCCTAAAAAAGGATCCCACGTGCTGCAACTAAGACCCAGTGCAACCAAAAGTAAATAAATAAATATTAAATAAGAAAAAAAGACTCAGCTCAAAGCCAGCCTTTTTCTTTCCTTGCTAGCTATGTCAGCGAAGCTCTGAGCTTCAGCATCAATCATCTGCGAAAACAAGGGGAGAGAGAGAGAGCCGCCCTCATGGGCATATGGGGTTAAATGAAATCAAGCACATGAAGCTAGGAGCACAGTGCCTAGCTATAGCAAGTGCTCAATAAATGCCAGCTCTCCTTATTAATAGCACGATTAATATGTTTCTTACTATTAGTAACCTCAGCTCTCTGCCTTCCTTCTCTACCACCTACAAAGCGCAGTTTCTCCTGAATTTATTCCTCTTTGTCCGAGTAAACTCTGAGAAAGTCTACCCTGAGTTGAGGGCCTGCTCTGGGCTGAGGGCCTGCACTGGGCTGGCCACTATGTAAATGATTAGAACTTTCTTATCGGTTTGTCAGACTAATCCTGTGAGGAAGGTGCATTATTGATCCCACTTTCCAGATGAAGAAATTGAGCTTCAGAGGGTTTACGTGACTGGCCCAAGTCACCTAGCCAATCCTTGATAGAGTCAAGTTTTGAACCCAGATCTGGCCAACTCTGGAAGCTACGCTCCCCTTAGTTTCTTTGCTTGGTGGGGGTCAGAGTGAGGGTGCCTGAGCTAGGGGGCCAAACAAGAAAAGCCTGAGGTTGACACCTACCCAAGACCCCCTCTGGCAGAGCAGGACAACTTCATTTCCCCCACCTTGCTGTCCCGGGAGCCCTGGGAGGGAGGGCTGGCCTCGGAGGCCCCCTGTGTGCCCTGCCTCGGGTTGGTACATCTTTACTAAACAGGCTGATCACTTTCATTGGACAAGTGGCTAGTGGTGACCAGGAAGAGAGGGCATTTGCCTGAAGTCCCTTAGAGGCTAGTGGGGGAGGGGGCTGGGAGCTGGGGTCCAGGTGGGGGGCTGGGGGAGGCTCTCCCGCCCCTTCAAGAGTCCCTGCCGCCCCTTCTCTGTGTCCCGGTGCTGCTCACTCGGCAAAGCTAAATGTGGCGTGACTGGGGAAGCGCCGAGCTGGCCGTAACTGGATACCGCGGTGGAGCAGGCCCCGGGCCGAGGGGCAGGGCAGCCCATCTCTGGTTCTGCTTGAGCGCCCGGCCTGGCCCCTGCTACCTGGAAGCCCTGGACAGCTAGGGCCTGCCTGCCCCGCCTGGCCCCGGGCCAGACCTGCTTTCCCAGGGCCTTCTCCATTCCCTCCTGACAGAAGGCTGGGGTCCTTCCTCCCCCCAGTTCTCAGGCTTTGTAACACATGGGGTAGTGGTCGCTCTCCTCTTTGGAGGCAGAAAAGCAAGTGGTGAAGAGCAAAGGTTTTGGGAATTCCCTGGTGATTCAGTGGTGAGGACTCTGCTGTTTCATTGCTGAGGGCGTGAGTTCAATCCCTGGTCAGGGAACCAAGATCCTGCAAGCGATGTGGTACAATGCACTAAGAAAAAAAAAAAAAAGCAAAGGCTCTGAATTGGGGACAACCTGAATTTGAGTCCCAGCTGTGTGTCTCTTTCCTGGTTTGGTGACTTTGAGAAACTGTGTGATTCTGTTTCTCCCTTTGCTCCTGTGATCACGGGGCCTGGGGACCTCACAGGGCTGTCATGAAGATTAAGTGACATGATGTGTACCAGGTGCCCGGCATGTAGAAAGGAGGTATCTGGATTCATTGACCAGATGTGGCCGTGGCTCCTGACCCCAGACTGTAGTTTCCCTGATGGTCTCAGTGCTTCAGGCCTGGGGAGACTGGCTAATGACCCCATTCCCAGATGACAGCTGCCCTTGTAGCCAGGCCCTGTCTGCCTGACCTTTACTCGGCCTGGCCCCAGGGGGTTCAGACCCCGGCTCTGCTCCTCTGAGACATGAACCTGCGGAGGTCTCTCTGAGACTCAGAGTGGGCCACCTCTCCTGCGGAAGTTCTGGCCTTCCCAGAAGGGCTCCTGCAGCCTCTGTCTGCCCCTCATCCTGGCAGCAGCCCCAGTGTCCTGGGGTGTTACCAGTAGCCCAGGCCAAGTTCCTGTAAGTCAGAGGCCTTACCTGAAGGCTTCAGTTCCCAGCCGTGACTTTCATATCCTGGCTTGGTCAAACCAGTACCCCACTTCCTCTAAGCTCCCAGGGACAGGATAAGAACCAGGGAGGTTAGGCAGAGTTCAGAGCCCAGTGTCTTGATTTGCACTGAGGATATAGATGTCCCTGGATGAGCCTCAGTGCAGGGTTTCCTCTGGGTAGGTTTTATAAACGATGACTCCTGATTTGATGACAAACCCTGTTGATTGCCTCAGCTGAAATCCTGTTCTACACATCGGGAAAGGAGGTTCAGAGAGGTTATGTGAGTTGCCTGAGGACACACAGCCCCCAGAAAGATGAGATCCTTCACCAACTGCCTTTTCAAAGGGTCCTTTTGCCTCAGGGGCTGGGCAGAGGGGCTTTCATTGGTGTATATGAGGTGGGGACTTCTGTACAGCCCAACGAAGGACTCACTGTGGAGAGGGAGGTGAGGCTGCCTTGGCCTCTGACCCTTTTCTCAAATAGCCAGGGGGGCTCCTAAAGTTGGATTAGCTAGTTTGGGAACTCTAGAGTCAGGATTGGGTTTGAATCCCAGTAACAGTGGGACTTTGGTTAGGCAACTTGCTCAACTTCCTTCCTTGGGCCTCAGTTTCCTCATCTGTAAAATAGAGCTAATAATACATACCTCTCTGGCAGGTTAGATGAAATATTGCTTGTAAATAGCTTAATGCATAGTATGTGCTCAATAAATGATAGCTATTATTAATAATTAACAGTAGGACAGAGTATTTTAAAGCATAAGCTCTGGGGGCGAGGACCAGGAAAGGAGAAGGAACTCCTCTTTCCTGCCTCTCGCCTGTGTCTCCCTGACATCATCCTCCTGCATTGGCAGAGGCTGAACTTCCTTCCTCCTGACCCTCTGGCCTCAGAGGTCATTTTAGCCATTCCCCTGAGGGAGAATGGCTGCAGAAACTCCCAGGGATTAGAATAGGAAGAGAGGGGGGTGACTCTTGCTTTGGCTCCCCCAGGAGTCCTCTCTGACGGGTGCTGGCCTCTGCATGCAGGAGGAATCTTTCAGTGAACACTAACCTTTACCCTACCTGCTTTAGTTTCAGGGGGCACAGTAGGATGTTTGTCTGCAAATCTCATCAGCAAACCAGCGCAGGAGGTCCAGTGAGCTCTCTCCCTTCCTCGGATCCTAGGAGGCCCCTGATGGCACTCAGGACTTGCCACTCCACCCACAACCTGCCTGCTTTTGGGGCTGGAGCTAGGCCAGGGCTTTCAGCTGGTAGACTGTGCTCTGGGGTTCCTCTGACTGTACGGACTTTCCTAATCACAACTCTACGTCTATAAAATACTCGGCAGTTTACAAAGCACTTTTGTTTCTATTCTCTCGTTTCATCCTCTCTTTGCCTCAGAGAGTAGCAGGCAGCGGTGTGTTGGAGTCAGCTGCTATGGACTTGTTAGGGCCAATGGTACAATTCACTTTTGGTGAAACTGGCCCAAATCCTCAAATTGGCAGTGGTGGGAGTATCTATCCAAGGAAATTAGCAAATGCTACAGATCAGTGCCCCCCACCCCCCACCTTTTTTTTTTTTTTGGAGAGCTGGTGGGTGAATATTTATCATATACCACCGGTAGGGGAGAAAGGTCATTAATCCCATTTTTCAGGGTAGAAGATTGAGGCTCAGAGAGAATGACATGCCCAGGACCAAACAGTTAAAACTGAAAATATCTCCTGAGTCTCAGGCCTCAAGAGTCCCAACAACACCCTCAAACACACTTCAGGCATGCAACCTTGGCAAAACATCATCTGACGACCGGTTAAGCATCCAGGTATTCTGTCTAACCTCTGCTCTCTGAACTTCTCCTCCTTCTATGATCCTGCAAGAGTGGGAGGGCTGGGGTAGGGATGGACTAAATAGACTTGATCTTCTCTGGAGTCAGAGGTAAGAAAGAAACAGTCCTCTAACCTGAATAGAAGGCATGATGAGGAAGAAATTTCCCCAGTAAGTATGACTGTGGGATCAACAACCATCATGGTGGCATCTCTGCTCTGTGTCCTCGCAAACAGCCAGGCCTTTTACCCCTTGTACCCAGCACCCACCCCTCAGAGACTCTTTTTTTTTAGTACCCCAGGATCAAGGCAGAGGGAACATTTGTGGGGTAGGGGTCAGGGAAAGCCCTGTTTGCTGGTTCTGTGACCATGGACAAGTCACTTCCCCTTTCTGTCCTTAGTTTCCTTACAAGTAAAATGATAAGCTGGGACCATTTGCATCCAAAGATGCTGAAGCTGGTTCTGTGGATGTGGATGTGGTCCACAGTGCTGTCATCTCTGGGCCCTCATCTCTGCTCTTCCTTTGGGAGGAAGGAAATCCTCACGGGGACCAGGAACAGCTGGGTGAGTTATTACACCCCAGAAAGGAGGTGTTGTATTATCACTCCCATTTTATAGATGAGGAAACTGAGGCTCGGAGAGGTTAACCTGACTTGCTCAAGTTCACTCAGCTAGTAAATGATGCTCCCCACGATTCAGACACCGGCTTCAAAGCTAGGGTGCTTAACCACTGTGCGCCACAGCCCCACCTCAGGCACACCTCAGCTTCCTTGCTCACTCCTGGAGGCCATAGTGGCGGGTGGGGGGCAAGTTTGGCAGTTTCCTTGGGAGGGTCTGCCCCTGTACCCCCTGTGGGCAGCTGAGTCAGAGGACACTCAAGGCCCTCACTGGGCTCTCTCTAAACTCCCTCCCACCTGGGCTGCTCCTACCTGCCCTTTATGGGAGAGGTGGAGATGGTGGAGTTCCGCCTTAATGGTTTCTGTTGCTGGCTGCGGCAGCATGTTTTACAAGGGGTGGGGACCTTGCCCACTGCTGCCTGTGGCCCCACCCGGGGCTCCACCCGCCTGGCTGCTGGGAGGGTTCCCCTGGAGCAGTTCAGAAGTTACCTCGTAGGGGTGGCAGGGAAGGGCCCGGGGGCCACTCCTGAGGCTGGGCACCCTGGGATCCTGGGAGCCTGGGGTTTCTAGCTCCGCTGCTCCCATCTAAGTTGGAGGCTCTGAGGTCAAAATCCTGTCCACTCTGGCTCTTGACCCTGGCTTGTTATCAGGAAGTGGGTCAGCCACCCCTGCCTGGAGATCTGATTAAAGTGCTCTGAGAAGCAGCTACAGATGGAAACGGCAGGGGGTGGAGCAGGGGTGGGGGTGCGGAGAACAAAGGATGAAGAGCTATCACATCTCCCTTGGGTGCTTTCCTCAAATCTGACCCCCTGATAGCCGAGACTGAGTCATCCCCATCCCCCCAGCCAGGACTTTCCTTCAGCCATTTCAGTCACTCCCCTGCCTCTGGAAATAGGCTGGTCCTAGAGAACCTCTGGCATGTCTGTCCTGAAAAAGCACTTGAAACATCTTCCATGCCTGGGGCTGACCTGGAACTTCTTCCAGGTATCTAACCTTAATCTCTCTTGTAATCTTAGTCCTCCTGCCCTCTTCTTCCTGCCATTCGCCAAGAGCTAGCAAGTGGCAATGGACTCAGTCCTGCTCCAGGATGGATCCCAGCCTTGATGTTTGTGTCAGACTCCAACAGCTTCCTGTTCTATTCTTTACACAGTACCCCTTCCTTCCTACGATCCCTGAACACCGTGGGCAGCTTCCCATCTCTTCAGCCCGTTCCCAGGCCCTGCCACCCCGCCCCGGCCCCAGAGGAACTGAATCCAAGCACTCACAGTAGGCTCTGGGCCGTGGCCACCATCACGGCTTCGGGGAGTCATTCAGTCCAGCAACTCCCCAGGAGCCTCCATCGAGGTATAAATACTCCCACATGCCTGGACCAGCCCCCTGCCTGAGGGCTGGGGCGGGGCTGCCTCCCCAGGCCAGGCAGGCAGGTCACATGCCCCATAAATGCCACAGGACCACAGGCCCTTACCAGCAGCCTTGGGGAGATCTACTGGGGCTTGACTTCATGAATGACGGATGGATGGAGGGAGGGATAAGTGTATGAATGGAAGGAAAGATGGATGGATGAAATGGACAGATCAATGGACAGACAAATTGATGGGTGAACAAATGACTGGATGGGAAGCTGGACAGATGGACAGAGAGATGAATAAGTGGACAGTGGGATATATTAATGGGTGTCTTTGAACTGCCTATGGATACTCATTTAGTAGATGGGGAAGAAAGAGATGCTGGTTTCCAGGAAATAAAAAGTGCTGTTCTTCAAAGCTCCCATCCATCTCTTTCTGAGACATGCCTAACAGACCCCGTTTTCTCCTCTGCTATGGCCACCTAGTCAGAGAGGCTGGCTCTACTGGGTTCTCCTTAGGGTCCATAGGTGACCCTTTCTAAGATACTTCCCACCTAAACACTCCCAACCCCCAGGAAACGTTTGGTCCTGGTTATCATTCATGGTCTTTTCCTCCCTCCTACCTACTCTGGAGTTCAAGCTCTGAGGCTGTTGCTCCTAGAAGCAAAATCACCTTTCCATCCAAGTTTAGCTGGGGCAGGAGTGGGGAGTGGGTGGTGTACAGTGCAAAATTCTTGTTTCCAAGAGCATGAGACCCTTACACAGGCAATTTAGGGAGAAGCTGCGCCCCCATCCCCCACCTTCCCCAGGAATTTTTAAAGGCATGACTGGGTCTGATGGTGAGAACAGGCCTGGCAAGGGACTTGTGTGTGGACCAGGTGACCTAGAACCCCTGGGGACCTGACCGGGGAGCTGGGCACTGTTTGCCTGCTTTATCCTCCTCGGTGGCGGGGAGGGCAGTGTACAGAGAGCAGGGGTCTGATTTCCAAAGAAAGTTCCTTCCAATCCTCAGTCTGTCCAGCTGTTGAAGGGATCCCTGAGTGGAAGATGAGATGGGGAGTGATGGAAGGAATAGGAGGATTTTTCACAGATGATAATATATGGCCTTCATCCTTACAATGAGCTTCTTCCAGCCACAGTGGCTAAAGAGTGGAACGGGCTGGGGGATGGGCTGGAGTTGCCCATCCTCTGAGCACCCATTAGCTCTGTGATCCAGTGTTCCAGAAGTCCTGCCCCCATAATCAAGTCACTCAGGGATGAGTCTGGTGGTCCCATTTCCTGTGGGTACTTTAGTAACTGGCTCTGCTGGTGATTGGAAGCTGATGATATGAGCTGTGAGACCAACAGGGATGACTGGGGCCTTGTTTCATCTCATCCTCTAGCTTGGCACTTATTATCTCAGATGCCCCTCCTGCCACTAAGCCTCCCCTCTCCCCTCACAGGGGGTCCTTCTGATCAAGGACCCCAGAAACTCCTTTCCCAGCTCTGCCATCAGCCTGCACTAGTCACAGAAATTAACCTCATTTCCTCCTTTCTAAAATGGGATCATCTTTTTTGCCTTACATACCTCACCCGGCTGTCCTGGGGACAGACTGAGGACCAGGATGCCAGAATTCTCTGAGGAAGATAAACCAACACCATCTTATGGTGCCCCCACCTCTTCCCCTGGGACCCTGGATCCACAGGATTTAAGGAAAGAGGTGGGGGCTGAGATCTTTGCCCCTTCAACTGTCTGCCCCTCCCTGGGTGCTCTCCATAGAACTGGTCCAGACCCTTTTCCACCTATTCACCTTAGTGGGGGCATGAGATGAGTCAGGAACCTACTATCCCTTGAGCCAGGGGCCTCTCATGCTCTGTACATATCATTATCGGAAGGACTGCTCATTATTGCCGATCTATTATTAGGATATTAATTCTGTCACCACTACTAATAATACATATCTAGTACAAGACAAATACACACTGGTGATGCCCCTCCCCCAATACCATCCAGAGCATGTGTGCAAAAGATCCTCCTGGCATTGTCATCCCAAAGATCTTTCTCTCCAAAACCCTTCCCACCTTGGGCAGGTTGGGCATGACCATGTGAAGGCCCAGAGAGGCTGAGCCTCTTCTCCAAACCACGTGCTCCTTGAGGTTCAGTGTGGGCTCAGGAACTCCTCCCAGAGGGAGCTGGGGACCCCTCTGATGGCGAAAACTGCTGCAGTCACTCTGCTTATGCCAAGTGGAGAGTCTGAAAGTTGGGTTTTATAATCACGGGGCTCTGTGTGTGTGTGCATCCTCGTGAACACCCTATGCCTTCCAAGACTGATGGGCTGGTGTAGCCTGGGACAAGGCTGTGGAATTTACAAGTGTAGGTGGGATCTGCAACTGTCTCCGGGCTGGTTCCAGGGACACGCCCCACTCTGGGAGTGTGTGTGTGTGTGTGTGTGTGTGTGTGTTGGTGCCCAGGTTGGCTATAGTTTGTCAGAAGCAGTACTTTCAGACTTGGGAAGCAGGGCTTGAAGTAGACTGATCATATGTATCCTCCCATGAGCATGGGGTGGAGGGTTAGGGTCAGATCTCTGGGAAACTCAGTTGCATCCTGGCGGGTCCTGAGGAGTGCCCACCCTCTGGAACTTCTAGAATAGCATGGGAGAATGGGTATCCCTTTCTCTGTGACTCACAGCCAGCTCTAGAGTCAAGTTCCCTGAGAGATCACGATTCAGCTAATTCTCTCCCCAGCCCCATTAATCTGAGCTGACGAAGCAAGAACCACAGGCGGGGTAGAGACCCAGGGATGCTCACAACTGCAGTCATTCCTAAACAACCTGGCAGGCTTTCTTGCTTTAGCTTTTGTCCATCTCCTTGCCTTGGGCCTGGCCATGCCTAATAGGATGGGTTATGTTCCTGGCATCCCCCCCCAAAAGCTGCCACTGCCTCCCTTGGGGGCCCTCTGAGGGCATCCTTCATCTCCCCATTTCACCAGACACACACCTGCAGTGTCAGGAGACCCATCTGGACATCATAGTTGTCTTGTTGTACTTGAACTCATCTTTACTCGTACTTGACCAGCATCCAGTCTTTAAGATCCAGATAGGATCAGGAGGCTGAGCCCATCTCCAGAGGTGATCCTATCCAACCCATTTTTTCCTACTGGCCGTGGCTCTGGGCTTTTCCTGAACACTGGGAAAATACAGAGGACATACCAGGACCTGGCTGGGGCATCGATGAAGGATGTTGAATTCCAAAGGGGACCTCTGATGGAGAGACCCATCTAGGGGAGGTGGAAATGGTGTGGGATGGGAAGATGGGGTTAGGGATGAGGGTGAAGGTGGGGTGAAAGAGAGAGCAAAGAGAGGAATGGGGTGGTGAAGGTGAAGGTGAAATTGGGGTTGGGGATTGGACAGGAGGAGGGCTGGATCAGGGTTGGAGATGAGAATGGGGGTATAGAGTTGGGTTGTGAAAGGAGATGGAGCTGGAGTAGAGAGGTTACAGATGGGGTGGGGTGGAGGTTGGAGATGCAGAGATGGAAGAAGGGGCAAAGGATGGGAGGGAATACATTGGAAAGACCAAAATTATTCAGGGACCTTTGATGCTCCTGAGAGACGCACTCTCCCAGAGGTCATCTTGTCATTTCCCTACTCCTGGGCATGTTGCCAGCCCAACCACACCCATCACAGATCAATGGTTGCCTCTCCACTCAGGAAACCACCTCCTGTGGTCACATGCATGCGTGCTAAGTCGCTTCAGTCGTGTTTGACTCTGTGCGACCCCATGGACTGCAGCCCGCCAGGCTCCTCTGTCCATGGGGTTCTCCAGGCAAGAACACTGGAGTGGGGTGCCATTCCTTTCTCCAGTGGATCTTCCCGACCCAGGGATGGGACCTGAGTCTCTTACATCTACCTGCATTGGCAGGCGGGTTCTTTACCACTAGTGTCACAATAGTTTAGCTGAACTCAATTTAAAAGGCTGAAGCATCTCTCTAAACTCTAATGTCCCTCTCTCCTGTTGCAGAAACCAAACTCAGTTTGCTAAAACCTACCCCCCCCCCCCCCGTAGCCTCAGCAGGGTCTGAGAAAGAAAGAGCAGAGGGCATATCTGTGGGACCTCTGCCCCTGGCCTGCTTCTGTTACTGGGGAGTAAGGAGAGGCAGGCAGAAGAGCCTCCCAACAGCCTTCCTGTCATTAGAGCGTGGAGTCAGAGAGACTAACAGAGGGGCAGTGGGCATTTCTGCCTTTCTCATTTCTGTCCTTTCCTGTACACCAGCTCTTCAGGGGTTTCTGTGTGACTTAGTCTCTGGCTAGGTGCTTAAGCCCTGTGCAGGCAGTGGGGTTTCTGCTGATCCATGAAGACTCAAGCTGGAAGGAAGGAGGTTAGACAGGAGGAAGGACCTCCTGGCAGAGATGGATGGAGAGCCACGGGAGGTGGTACTTTCTTCGTGGGCAGACGGAACTCTCCAAGGGGCAAAAGGAAGGCTTTTCCCGAGACCAAGGTGAGGACATGAGACAGCTTCCCAGAAGGCAAGTGTCACCAGGGGGCTTTCGCCTTTGACTCCAGCTGCCCCAAGCCTTCTCCCGCCTCACAATGAATGAAGGCATGGCTGTTGGTTGGGGGCCACATGAGGTCAGTGTGTAGCTGAGACAAAGATGGGGAGCACCGAGGGTGCTCCAACCCCCTAATCTTTCTCTTGCCTTCCCAGGAGCAGAATCGAGAGAATTCTGGGGCTCCCTGAGCCCCTGGGAAATAGAGTCCTCTGAGAACTCCCTGGCATTCCCGGGAGAACAGGTTCCTGGCCCTGGGAGGTGAGTGAGGCGCCGGGCCTGGGGGGGGCAGCGTGCCTCGGCAGGCCCTGGAGTCCGGAGCTGAGCTCGGCAGAGGCAGCAGGGGCGGGGCCGGGCGGGGAGCTGGGAGGACATGCGCCTCTCCCCTCGGCAGCTTCCCTCCTGGGGACCCTGAGCCTCCCCCAGCAGCCAGCCCCACTCG